AAAAGGCAAGCACATCAACATGGTGGCTTTGACGGTGATGATTACCAGCCAATTCCCTGAATTATAGGGGTTTGCAACCAATGAGCTCCATCTTGTTTAGAGACGGACATGTTAGAGTTGCGAAGCAGTAAACTAAAGTAGGGATTTTATACTTTAGACGAGGGGGGCAGCGGAGGCTGAAAGAGACACGGGACTTGATGGATGGCATGAGGAGGCAACATGTGGAGTCACTTTTGTGGGAAAATAAAACAGAACAGTCATGAAAGATTAATCAATATTAGAACATGTGTCAAAGACGTGCTCTAAAACAATGCAGATTATAATGGTATTTAAAACCTCATGTGAGAATTGTTTTACTTCAAAATCAGTTTGATTTCAATGTTTTGCAGCAAGGATTGTTTGCATCCTGCCGCACTGCAACCATGCAGCCACAAACGCAATTGTTTTTTCGAGCACGTACGCTCTCATAAAACCCTGTAAAGTTAAACTAACACATGGCTAATAAGGAACCAGAGTTAACTGGGTTCCCCTTAACGTCTTTAAACTGATAAAGAAAACCTGGTGTGCCTTTTACATCCTCCAAAAAGCCTAATGGTATACTGTATGTAACTGCAGAGAGAGAAAACCTCCTGCATGGATGAGCCTACAAGTCGCCCCCCCCAACAACACCCCTGCTCCATCGTCCAACATGTCTGGCGCCCTCTTGTCTTTGTTTTGACAGGAGAAGTCTACCCTGAGTCTGTGGTGTCTTGTCAGGGCGACTGCCCATGCGGGTCCGCAGTGTTTGACAGCGGTCTTTGCTTTTCTCCTTCTGCCCTGCCTTCCTGTTCTGCTCTGGTGATTCTGCTCTTGACAAATGTTCTGGTCACTTAGGCTAATGTTAATTTTCTTTTGTGCGTTAGGGTAAAAAGGAGAAGGAGCAAAATAAAAGAAGAAAAAAGGGTGAGGATTCACAACGTATAAACACAGAAGGAGACATTAGGAGAGTGAAATAAAGTATGGTCAAATGTGTCCTTTAAAGTTGAATTAATTTAAGAAAAATCTGGGATTTTCCTGAAACCAAAACTGCGTGTGTTGTGTGTTCTTCTGTATTGGGAATGGCTTCATCTTTCTCTGGGCTGGCGTGATGTATGTTGGAGTGCAATGAACATTGAAATGTTCATCCCCTCACTGAGCAACACCTTTTTTCATTGGTTTGATTACTCTCCACTGTATCATGCTCCCCTTATACTGTGCGCCTTTAAGGTATTGAAACTTAACTGAAAAGGTGAGTGCGAAAAGTGGTTGGTGGCAGGTTCCTTTTTCAGAACGGCAGGTTCCAGCGGTCGGTGGCAGGTTCCTTTTTCAGAATGGCAGGTTCCAGCGGTCGGTGGCAGGTTCCTTTTTCAGAATGGCAGGTTCCAGCGGTCGGTGGCAGGTTCCTTTTTCGGAACGGCAGGTTCCAGCGGTCAGTGGCAGGTTCCTTTTTCAGAACGGCAGGTTCCAGCGGTCAGTGGCAGGTTCCTTTTTCAGAATGGCAGGTTCCAGCGGTCGGTGGCAGGTTCCTTTTTCGGAACGGCAGGTTCCAGCGGTCAGTGGCAGGTTCCTTTTTCAGAACGGCAGGTTCCAGCGGTCGGTGGCAGGTTCCTTTTTCAGAATGGCAGGTTCCAGCGGTCGGTGGCAGGTTCCTTTTTCGGAACGGCAGGTTCCAGCGGTCAGTGGCAGGTTCCTTTTTCAGAATGGCAGGTTCCAGCGAGTCGGTGGCAGGTTCCTTTTCGGAACGGCAGGTTCCAGCGATCGTGGCCAGGTTCCTTTTTCGGAACGGCAGGTTCCCAGCGGTCAGTGGCAGGTTCCTTTTTTCAGAATGCCAGGTTCCCAGCGGTCGCTGGCAAGGTTCCTTTTTCGGAACGGCCAGGTTCCCAGCGGTCAGTTGCAGGTTCCTTTTCGGAACGGCAGCTTGCGGTGATTGTTCCTCTGGTGGTCGGCGGCAGGTTCCTTTTTCAGAACGGCAAGTTCCAGCGGGCGGCGGCAGGTTCCTTTTTCGGAACGGCAGCTTGCGGTGGAAGGTTCCTCCGGTGGTCGATGGTAGGATCCTTTTTCAGAACGGCACAATCCGATCTCAGTTGGGTATTAAGCGACATGCAAATTCTATGTAACGTTAAATGAGAGAAAAAAAAGGCCGACCATCTCTTTGACTTTAAACAGACCTCTATTGAAAGTAAGATCAATTAAATATGGAATTTCAGTCAAGCTGCTGTTCTGAAAAAGGAACCTGCACCGACCACTTTTCGCACTCGGCGCCACTGTTCTGACACATCATGATAGAAATAGAGACGACAAACAACATGGTAGTCATTACTGGTCAGAATGTCCAAGTCAAATGTACTTGATGTTGCAGGAAATCTTCAGGAATGCTTCACAAACAGGAGGTGGGCTCTGTTCTCACAGAACAAATGGCGATGGAAGGTGCTGAAAGTCAAAAGACGCCTGGAAAAGGATTACTGACATGTTTCATTTGTTGAGCGGTATTGAAAAAATACCCATGTGTGGTATGATTACTGGAGGGAGGGGCGGGTCAACAACTCTCTGACAGGGAGAAACACAGTTGCTGGGAAATGAGTGTCATTTTGAGAAAGGCAAACACAAATACCATCACGTATGTGTACTGTAATGTTTAACCAGCTCATGATATCAGGTTGGTTTTGCATCTATAGATTCCTTAAATGTGTGAGTTACTCTGTGATTTAAATGTTTGACAGTAAAATGTCATTGCTGTCTCAACGAGATATTAAAAACAGTGGGATTTATTGTCTGTAGTGATTTGTACATCTCAACTTTAAATCATTTAATGATTCAAACATCCCCATGAGCGTCTTCTTCTTTGACGACTACCTTAAACCAGGACATGCAACCTAAAAATATGCTTCTGTGGAATTAATTTCCATCTGACAAAGCAACCCACTCAAAGACGCCTTGGCTAAGAGGCATCTAACAAGACTTATAATATATAAGAACATACACATGTACATATAAGATGGTACTTAGATTCAAATATCTTCCCGCTTGTCCCAGTGGGAAGCTTTTTATGCACCCAAATGTGCTCCGATATCAAACGCATCTGTTGAGCAAAGTCTTGCCAAGCCCAAGCCAGGTGAAGAAGAGTAATTATACTTTGCATTCTTATCATTGTTTGAAGCTGGCAAAAGGACGAATAATACACTTCAGAAAGAAGGAAAAGTGTTTTAAGCTCTTCTGATTAAAAACCAATTGACAGCTGTGTTTATAATTAATCAAAACAATTTGTCTTTCCCTCTATAGTTGCTGGCACATAAACGTCTTTGGCAAAAGGTTGACATTGTAATGAGTGTGTGTTCTGCAGTCGCTGACAGTTTTGCAAATGTTCTTTCTTCATAGATGCTGCTTTGGTATTCCTAACAAAAGCCACATCGCAGCCTGTGGCTTTCCCAGCAAGTGCCGTACAACACGTTTAGCAGTGGACACAATTAATGGGCTTGCCTCTTTTGCATGCGGCTAAAGTGATTTAAGCCATGGCAGGTGCCTCGGAGCCCAAAGAGTCGCCGCACAAAGAGCGCCGCTGTCCGGGCTTTGTAGACAGGATATCCACAGATGTGGAGCCAGACCAGATGGCATGTACATCTGAGACAGAGGGAGAAGCGGGACACAGAGGGATAAAGACACACAGAGTTGAAGGGGGACAAGGACAAGGGCCAGACACAGGCCCGCATTAAGCGGTGCGAGCCTGGCCATATGCGCCTGACATTTAGCCGGCACCCAGCTCTCCATTGACTCGCTCTGCGTAGCTCCAAACATGCCTGCAGGCCACAGAGGACAATGGCTGCCTTCTCCTTTAACCAGCATCAAAAGGGGAGATGAAAACGGCCACGCGATAGAGCGCCTGTTAGAAGTGTAAAAACGCAAATGATGTATACGAATACACTGCTGTGGTGTTCCTCGTCACGAAGACCAGTCCTTTTAAACAAATCGGCCTTGTTCAGCCTCGCCCATCGTTTCTTATGTGGAATATAATTTGTCTGGAGAGAAAGCAAGATATGTGAAGAGAAGTAATGCTCACTCTCTTTGTTCCGTTTGTGTTTTTTCACATCTGCGTCGGTGTGGTTGCATAACAATGCAACAAAGGGAATATGACTTGAAAGTGTTAGGGCAATTCAAATAACTTTGTCTGCTTGTGAAACAAAGAGACAAGAGAAAGAACGAGAGAAAGACCGAGAGAGAGCAATGGGAATGAGTGTCACCCAATTAAAGGTTCAGCACAGCCTATGGGAGAGCAGGAGACAAACTATTAGCAGGCTGCAGTTACAAAGCCACGCTTATAGGGCACTAATCTTGAGTGATTAGATGCCCTGCTATGCCCAGCTATGCCTTGGAAAAAGCCGAAAGAGTCAACGTTATTTATGCTTTTAAGCAAAAAATATGTCAAAAAATTCAGTCACAAATATCCAAGGAAGAATTGTAAAACATGTTAAGTTCAGAAAATGTCTAAAATGGATGTCAAAAATATCAGGTAAAAAAAAATCAAAAAATGTTTTGTCATTAAATGTCAAGGGAAGAAAAGTAAAAGACAAATATATAATTGTTGCAAAAAAACAGGGAAAAAACAGAAAAATTCTAAAATAAAAAGTAAAAATAAAAAATATTATAAAAATATTTTTGGCAAAATAAGTCCAAAAGATCCAAAGTCCAAAAGATATTTGGTCAGAAAATGTAAAACAATATTCAGTTGAAGTCACGGGAAAAAAAGTAATATTTGGGCCGACATATTCAAAGAATATTTAGTCAAAAATGTTATGGAAAAGACTTTAAAAAGAATTTTGCACTTTGTGGAAAAAAAGTTTAAAATGAATTGGTCGGAAATTAAAAAGAATATTGTTCGGAAAATGCCATGAAGAAAAAAATCAAAAGATAATAGGTTAAAAAATGTCAAAAAGTATTTTGGAAAAAAAAGGATTGAAATGAATAGATCAATATTTCAAAAACTTCCATATATTCTTGCCAACGGTTATGTGGGAAGGTGGATACCACGCACATGTCCATGCACAGTATATACAGCACATGGAGTTAATGATTAGTGGCATATAGCAGAATAAAAACTCAAAAAACAATCATGCATTACATCTCATTTGTTTAATCTGTGCACAGTCAAATTTGTAAAAACATCCGTTTTCCGGATCCGGATAGTTTTTTGCTGTTTTTCCCCGCTTCCTGTACCAACAAAGCTTACAGATTGTTCTTGTATTGTGTGAATGGAGCATTGCTTTGTCACATGGCCTCTATGGCTGAACATGTTAAATGTTGGCACACATTGTATTTCTTGGTTTTACTCCATGTGGCTGTAAATTTGTTTGATAAGTTTGATTTTAGTTCCACTCATACACACAAATCAAGTCGGGCAAAGTCGGGCAAGTCGGGCAAAGTGTTGGCTAAATAAAGAAACAAGGATGAACCCACAAAGATTGCAGCAAAGCGGAGATAGACATATAAGAGAGGCTGAGAGAAAAAAAACAAGGCCGACCATCTCTCTTTGACTTTAAACAGACTTCTATTGAAAGTAAGATCCATTAAATATGGAATTTCAGTCCAATTTGTCTTCAAAAGGGGTAAAAGAGCTCATTATGTGGGCTCTGCTCTTTCTTCACTATTAGAAAGAGACGTTAGTCATGCCTGCTTATCTCACAACCTTATGAGCGCAGGATTAAAAGATCAAAGGCTGACTTCGGTTTAATATTATAGGAAATGTAAGCTCCTTTTTTCTGATGCGCTTTGGACTGTGCCTTTTTATCCCCTCTCAATACTCAGATCAAAATGACGAAAACTCAATAATTTCTTTCGCTGTCCATTTTGAAATGTATGCCCGCACCTCTCATATCCAGGGTGAGTGGTGGGGTGGGGGGGGGGTGTAAGCGGGTACTGATCTATTTCAAAGTGGACCCTTTAAGACCTTCAATTCAATTCCCCCGTAGCAGAGTTCTCTGAAGTACATTAGGCTGAGTACAGAGACGTTCACTCTGTCCGGACACATACTTCTGACTTAATGAAAATATTCTGTAGCCACTCAATTATACACTTGAAGGTTTAGGGGCTGGAGAGTGATGCAAACACAATGGCTCACAAAGGGCGATGCTGGGAACTCTCAGTTCTCAGTACCAGTGGAGCAGTCTAACGAGGATGTGCGTTTCTGGCACAAACTTCAGAGAGCGAAACCAGTCTGGTCGCCTCGTGCTCATTATTCCCCAAAGAGAATCTACGCTACACAAAATAAGAGAGGACACTGAATTGCAGCACTGCAATTAAGTCATTTATTTTGCTATCCTGAAAATGAGATGTGGCATCCTAAGGGGCAAGGTAATAGAGGGCCACAGCATCCCTGCGCAAAATAGGTACAAGATGGCCGCCACTGACACTGCATTTCCCAGAAGGCCTCAACAATCCCACAGCTGTAGGTGTTTAAGGCACCCAATTGAGGCCGGGCTGGGGACCAACACCTGGCTGGAAGGAAAAGCGAACAGCAGACTGGGAACCGGCCCTACATGGAGGAGCCCAGAACAAGGAAAAGCCTGGGAAGTCGACTGGAAGTTTTTTGGTTAAGGAACTTTTTTTGTCCTCGGGACCCTTTTATTGGTAATGGACATTCAACACCCCAAACGATATGAAATATGAAATTTCATTTATCAAACTAATTTGTTTTGATACAGTTTAATATGTTTTTTACTGACCCTATGCAACAATCTTCCCCATTGGGATTAAACAAGGCCAAAAATAACAAGCACACTACTCAACTACCATACAAGCATGAGATGTAATCCAAGTGAATAAGTTCATTGAAGGATTCTCTTCTGTCAGAAATAATAACTGCTGGTCTACAGAGACGCTGGAAGAAGACTACAATTCAAAATCATTTATTTATCCACTTCTAGCAGAATTAAAACACCTTTGTTTTTGCGCGCCAGCATCTACACGGTTCTTTGAATGTTTTTTTAAGTGAACGCCCCTATTAACCCCGTGGGACTCCCTCATCGATGCTGTGGGTCTCAAGTGGGAGCAGCGTAATTGTTAGCCAAGAGGATGTCCGTCCTAAAGGAGCTGAAGAAGTTCAACCTGCAAAAGACAATGATGGTGAAAAGCTAGAGAGCGATCATTGAGTGCATCCTGTGCTCTTCAATCCCCATCCAATCCGCCGGGTATCATTCACACCTCATTGCATCTGCGGTTCAATAAATTCCAGTGCCTCCCCAGGACACATTCTTACAGTTACACACCCTTGCACAGGTTTTCTCACCGGCCACTTTATAGGTACACCTTGCTAGTAAAAGGTTGGACCCTCTTTTGCCTTCAGATCTGCCTGGTCTTTGTGGCATACCTTCAACATGAGATGATACAATTGACATGATAGCCTTGTCTGATCGTTCTTCGAGTGCCTGAAGTGAAAACTCTTTGAACTTTTCAGATAAGAGCTGGTGACGTCAATGTGGAAAATGGAAAAGAAGCTTGATTCAGTCTTGACTGTCTATCTTGAGCTTTATGTGTCAGAGAGACTCTATAAGACACCATGATATCAATGAGCAAGAAGCTTATTTTGGGGAGCAGGTAGGTCAAACCGACAACTGATCTGGTTGGTACTTATAGAGAACAACAAAGTCAAGCAATAGTGCAAATAGATCATTAAAAGCAAAAAAGCGATGCTACTCTGTCATACATTGGGGGTTAGACACGTTGTTTAAATATTGTTGTCATAGAAAGAAAAAAAAAGTGAAAGCTCTTGGAGCGCTTTTTCGATGAAAGGCCGGGATGAAGGGCTACCAATTGCCCGGCGGGGATTTTTCTGCCAGAAAAAGACGCTATGTGGACAGAGGCCCTGAGGCAGTTAGGAAGTACAAAATTATTGACAAGTGAGGATTCCTACTTCTAAGACGTTTGTACATTTCACTGTAGCCAAAGCGGAAAAAGAAAAAATGCACAGAAACGCCCTTTTTTGGCCCGTTTTTATCCTGAAATTGAAGGATTTATTTTTTAAATGTATTTCCCAATAAATAAAACTAAAGTCTTTTATTTTAGCTCTGTGCGACTGAAACCCATATCGTAAGTCTTCATCATTTAAGCTGGATAACTGGAACGTTATTTGCCATTTAGCCCTAAATCGGATCCGTCACCACCTTCTGTCGTAGCTACTGACCTTTCGGTCCCGTTGATGTGGGAAAGAAGCATACTCTCTTCCTCTCTGGTCTCAGATAGATACACTTGGAGCCATTAAGATCCCTCCAGTCCCTTCCAGTGCCTCACATCTGGACTCCTCTGGGAGAGCAGACATACCAACAAAAGCCTGCGGACCAGAAGTGCAGAGAAGAATCAGGGGCTGTTGAGGTCTCAACATCACAAGCATTTGTTTACCCTCATCCACGTACACGTATCGGTGCTCTGTCTTGTGGAGTTTTCGTGGGTTGTCTCATCTTGATCCTAAACGGAAAATAGCTGGACAGCAGGCTGCTCATGCAGCAGGTTCAGTAAGTCTGTCTGCTCGGGGGGGGGGGGGGCGTCCCGCAGGCCATGGTGTGAGTGAGCGGAGGAAGAGCAGAGGGACAGGCATGGCTGGAGATCATTAGAGCTTGTTAGTGTCCCCGCTGCCCAGGGCTTGGGGCGGGGGGCCTCCGTTTTGGGGAACCTCCGTTTTTGGGGAACCTTTCCTCGGGCATGAACAGGGTAGCGTCGGTGGTGGGGGGGGGGGGCCTCTTACTTCCAGTACAACATACCCCAGAGACGTCCCAGCAGATTCTGCAGGTCTGACTTTCATCTGCCTCGCTCCCAAAGGCCATTAGGCAGTTTAGCTGGGAAACGGCTGCTAAAATATACATCTCTCGTCAGTCTGCGCGCCGCCGCCAGTCGCTTCAATATTTAAATCATCAGCCCTGCACACGCGTTTGATGTCAGCTCTTAAGGAGCTCCGTCTCGAACGCTGACAGGCCCGTGGACGGAGCGGCTGTTTACCGTCGCCGACGGAAAGCGCTGCCTTCCGTTGTTTCGTCACACGTCGATAAAGATCCAACGAGACTGCTTTGTTTAAACGACTGCGCAAAGGGCTCGGAGCGATGCGCGCCTCAGCTAGTCTGTCTCACTCTTTCAGCGATTTCTGATGACACTTTTGCCAATACGGGAGTTCTGTCGGAATCAAAAGAGTCTGTGCCGCATATTTCCATTGACGCAAATCGGTTGGAACCTCTCGGATTATATCACAGTGCCAATATTCATTTTGGTCGGGGCAGGAGGTCCTGCGCACAGAGTATTTCAATTTTGCACATGTGTTGAAGGTAACTGTGAGAACTATGAAATAGGCATGGGAGGTAATGTCGGGTTTTATCTCGACATTTGGCACATGCAGGGCTTCTACGGAAAAATAAGGTTGATCATTCCTTGCAATGTGTTGTTTTGTAAGAACAAAGGGGAACATCATATCCAACCTTTAATCTGACTTGAAGCCAATGTGTCGAGCTATTCTTCCTCTCATGGTTGCATGTCAACGTTCATCATGTCGCAATCACGCGAGCGGCGGATTCATGAGGCTGCGCTGCACGTGTTCACATTTGGATGCGCATGCAAATAGATGCTCATTTATTGAGTGGCCTCCAATCCCTTAGATTCTGACATTCAACATGCAACCCGTCGCGCCCTCCCCCCCCCACCCCCGCACTGATCTGCTGTTTTACACTATACGACCTTTGACCCATGGCAACGTGAACCTTTAAATCTGCCATTTTCCAATCTGCCAAGTTATCAGCAGGGGGTCGTACCCACCTCAGTTCTTCACGAGCTCCCTGCAGCTCGTATAGAAACGATGACATCTTTAAATCGCTACGGAGGAAATGTTTGCAGGCCTGCATCATCGCACAAACCGTTAACACACACCGCCATATGCCATTTGATGTCCGCTCTTATCCAACCAGCTGCCTATTAACATATCACATGTCATGTGGGGGATCATTTTAATCTCAACAGCTGTATATCAGCATGAGCACATAGATTTTTGATATAAGTGCTCCCAGTTGTTGTTAACCCCTGCAGCGTTCGTACCGCAGCTGCGGGATCTTTAGGAATGAAACCTTTTTGCTAGCATTTCATGCATGGGGTTGCATGCATTGACATTGAAGCGCTCTGACAAATAAATAACTGTAATTGAAGCGAGGGATTATTCATCTTTGCTCCAGTGAGTACTTTTAGCCAAATCCCCTCTAGCGTCCCTAAACGCTAAAAAGAAAAAGAGACGGGAATTTGTCCCCAGACCGGTTTGCCGTACCCACCCTCCCCAGCAGGATCTCTCCCTCTCTGTTGCCCTCCCCTCGGAGCAAAAGGGGAAGATTAAAACAAACGGGGCTTTAATCAGTGGACCCCGCTCCTCTCAGCTCAGCTGCCGACAGAAGGAGTCCTCTCCGGGAAGGCTGCCTCAAATCAAAGCTTCCTGCTCGCCACTTGCTGCTTCGCCGATCCGTATCACAACAACAAAACCAGCAGAAACAATTATTTATTCCTTTTGATGTGGGTTTTGAAGTTACCCCACCTCTTCCACTATGCCCCCCCCCTCCACCCTCCACCCTCCCACATCCTCCTTCCTTCCACCCCTCCTCTTCCTCGAGCCCCTCCAGCTTTCTGTATCTTTTACTCCCAAGGAAACAAGGTCATGCCAGCTCCTCCGTAAAAGTAGGCTGCTTTAAAAGGAGTTCCAGAATCAGCGTCTCTCTCTTATTTTACACCAGCGAAAGTCTCGTCGCGTGAGTCAAAGCTGATCGGGTCGCTTCATTCCCCCACTGAGCTCGCTGGGTTGTGAATGTCACTTTCACGGTGTGATGTTCTGCACATTACTGAAAGTGGAACGGAACTTGTTTCGTGGCATAATGCGATTATTCACAGTTTCTTAGTTTCCCTGAAACAAACTGTAAAAGAGCCTAAAAGGAAATTCCGGATAACTTGTTCATTTTGCTACTGTTCATTGTGATGATATTTAACATTTTTGGGGTGATACTTTTGGTATTTTGAAATATGTATAGAAATCCCTTTTGGCTGTGCAACCTTGCAACGCCTGTTGTTTGACGTGTTGGGTGGGGGGGACCTCACAGGGGCTCACAGATCAGAAAAGTGCTGCTGCCACACCGCCGCTGATCCCAGTAAACCTCCTCTTCCAGTTGAAAACCATCTCTCAGTGGGAGGGAAGTATGTGAGAACGACTTTTGGACTCAAAACACCACAACATGTGCTAAAGCTGTTGGATCAGTCTGCAGCCTCATCAAACGGCATAGCGGGGAGAAAACTCCTCGAACAGATGGTAGTCATGTTTTTATCATATGCTGAAAGTTGTGATCCTCTGTATGTATTGAATGGTGGGGGTATATATATATATATATAATGTATTATATTCAAATAATGAGGTTATACTTTCATGGAATTCATTTTCCTTTTAAGAGAAATCGCTGCACTATTATTGCTCCAAGTTGACAACAAAATGTGCACAGAAGCCACCAGTTTGCAGTCGGTTCGGTGATGACAAGCAAGCCGAACAGCTTGAGGCATTTTGGACTCCCTCCGGGGCAATTAGCTGCACTCAGGGTAGACAGGCTCCTGTTTCTTACTTATATTAATTATCACGGCGTTAACAGGAGAGCTGGAGTTACGGTTACAGCCTGACTGTTTGGACCGCACTTCCTTCGTGGCTGCAGGTTGAAAAATAGTGTGATACAGAAATTGGGGGGGTTGTTTCAATTAAAACATCTCAACTTCACTCTGGGAGTACGTTTGTGCCCACACATTTTTTTACCATGCTCAATTATTGCTCTGAATGGTGGTAATGATCTTGTGAAGCATTTCATTTTCCATTTTACAGGTCTCTTTAATTGGCCTCCTTGTCAAGCTTTTTGGGGGGGAGGAGGTGGGGAGTTATCCTTCAATTAAAGTCACCTAATTACACAACTCAAATGCCTCTTGTGTCCCCAGAAGGGGGTGGGGAGGATAGGAACCTGGCAGAGCAACAGCAGCTGACACGCACACATTTTGTGCTGCCTCATCTGAAAACCAGCTTTGTGGACACATCCCTCATCTGCAGAGGATTTAGTACCAGACACAGCGGTGCTTTCAACATCAACATGCTGCTAACATGTTTGTGATAAGCAGGCACAATGTTTACCACGCTCACAACTTAATTCAATGCGATAGCGGGCTAATATTTGCTTATCAATTCCTGTTGAGGCGCTGAACTTTGGCAGACTTTCTACCAAATAAATGCACAAAAGATTCCACTCTAATATAAGAAGCAGGGACATTTGAAGCAGTTCATGTTGAAAAGAATCAGTACTGGCAGGCAAGGTTAATTGCAGATGTGTCACCACAAAAGAAGAAAATCCTGTATGGGTGCAAAAGCAGTCTGACAAATACAACATTGCTCGAATCCACAAACAGGATTTTTATAAAACTTGTACTGTATTGATCGTACAGTTGTGAATGTATTTGATAGGAGTGGAATTGGGCTGCTTTAAGTTTCAGGACATGGTTTGTTGTCTCTTTTTCAAGCTACACACCTCTGTGATATGGTTTTACATGCTAAAAAGGTTGTATAACACAGTGTTGTGTGTATTCCTATACGAGCTATGACCAGCTTTGACGTTCCTACACAGTCCAGCTTGTCAGAAATGACAGGCAAATGGAGAGTGGAACCGGTAACCCGGAGAGCAGCTAACAAATCCCCCGGCTCAGGATACGAGCTGCAGGGTGTGCAGACCATGACTGATACACCCTCACTTCCCTGAACCCGTTCGTAGGGATCTGTCATCAGATTCCACATCACGCAGTGTCAGGCTTGTGCAGTAAACTGATGCTGTAACTAAGGACGGCAGCCGTTTTCTTTCTTTCCAGCCAGTGATAATAATAATTGTTTGACTGTGTGTTTGAGCTAAATGCTTTATATCGTCTTTTCTCTGCAACATTAAAGAACACGTATGGCTTTTGATATCGGTGCAGTCGGGCATCGGTGCTGCGAAGGAGGAGAAGTGAACCTGCGGCGCACCGAGACGCCGACAAAAAGGCAAGAATTGATTAGTCCAAATGAAGGGATGAGGCTCCTTCTGCGGGGCTGGAGATGAATGCGGCAGAGTGTGACAAAGAACCAAGTTCCTCTGATTAACGCCGTGGCTGTCAGCGAGCGCCAGGCCTGACTGGCACATCAAAGACGCCAAAAGACACAAGGGACAGTTTGGCATCTTCATTTCCTCCATCGTCGCTACTGACCCCATCCTCAGCGCTGACCATTTCGTCTGGAATTGAGTCACGCTCAGTGGGGGGGGGGGGGGCTTTGAAAATAACTCTTTGTCAGTGTGTTGCTGTTTTTCGGGGAACACAAAAAGGTAGATCTGTAGATTCCTTCCATGAAAAAGAAAGACGAGGGGAAAAAAGGCCAGCCTACCCGAAGTTCTCGTATCTCTCTTTCTTACCTCGATGTGCAGTCTGCGCCTGCGATCCCTTTATCTGCCTTTCATTAGCGCGCCGCTCGCCCTCTTCCCAGGGCGCGTGTCTGGTAGACAGTCACTTTCTCGCGGCCTGTGATGTTTCTGCAGATTACAGAGGGCCTTTGAAGCCGCCGCACTCCTCATTGCCGGGGCCTCAGAACGGGCCCCCGCCCATCTGTCACATCGACGGCAAAGTAGCGGAATGGGGCCGAGGCAGACACCCTCTGCCGAGCCACACTTTTGTCTTTTATGTGTCACATTTGGGTGTCGCGTGAAAGCCACCTCTTTGTAATCATCCGCCGGGACCCGCCTGGAAGACTGGGCTCCGTAGCATGCAAACACACACACACACACACGCACACACGCACACGCCCGCACACACACAGGGGAGGGGAGGAAAATGGTCCTCCGTAATTGCTCTTACCCGTGGGCATCAGTCTTGAAATGAGACAATTATCGGCATCACCTCGCAGCCTTCTGTGGTTTCCTCCCACTTCTCCATGGCCCTGGAAATCACCGCCATGCTGGTCTTTGATACCTATAACCAGTGGGAAGGATTTGATTGTTCCTGCGCGTTAGGAGACGGTTGCAGGCTGAACGAACCTGAATGACAGCCAGCCGCCAGTAACTCGGGGGTTACTTCACAGAAGAAGGTTTTCACAGATAAATATAAACTGAAAATTCTTTCAACCACTGGTTCTCAAAACACAGGTCTGATTTTGAAAACTTTTATTTAGGCTTTTTCCGATCCTTTACCACCGGCCTTCCCTTACTGTCACCTGTGTTAACACTACATAGTGTAATTTATGACAACAATGACACCTCTCACATAACTGGTTAGACTCAACCGGCTCAACTAGCTGGTTGATGCCGTCTCCAGCTGACTTGTTTTAAAACTAGAATCCTTTAAAGAGGTATTGCATATGACCTCGATGGCTACATACTATATTTTGCAGATCTTTGAAAAATGTTATTGAACAAATGTTGCAACCTGCCTGTGTGATGAGTGATGAGGTAAAATATTTGCAGCGAAAAAAGCTCTTAGGCTTCTTAGCTTACATTCTCGGACAAGCAGGAGAGAAGTTAGATTTGAGCTTCATTGCTCAAGTTTAAAGAAGGAGGGTCCCTGATAAAAAAAAAAAGAGATCACAGGCAGCGCGTTTCCACCTCTAACGGTGCCTCTCCCTGTGTCGAGATGATAAACTCGTCGAGCTTGAGCGTTCCCCCAGGGCCTTCCTTTGGGTCGGGATGGTCACAAAGCTTTAACACTTCTCCCCATGTGTATTTTCCCCCCCACAGGACGAGGACATCAGTGAGCAGTCACCCACCCCCCCCCCCCCACCACCTTATCCTGTCACGCAAACACACAAATGTATGACGCATGTGAGCGTTTGTGTGCGCCATGAAAAATAAACACAGACGACTCCAAACGCACATCCCCCGTTGAGTCACATCAGACCAGCTCCCCTTAAAAAACATCCTCCTTTATAACGGGCTTCCCGAAACGGAATAATGCATAAAGCAGAGGGCGACGTTAAACTACAAAAACATTAAGGAAGCCCAATGAAATATGCATTAGAGTAAGTGGATCAGAGAAGCTCAAAATCCGCATTCTAACATAATATTCATACGGTATGAACACAAGTGAGTATACATTGTAACTGCATAGTGTGCAGACTGTGTCTCCCCCTAAAAAGCACCGGGTCTTTTTAGAGCCTGCAACACCACATGTACAAATTTGGAAAAACCAAGACATCAAATCATTCAGTGATGCTGAAAATGTAATAAAAGGGAAACGCGCCGTGGCAAAAACCACACGCCGCATACAAGGGTCTCTTATCGTATCTCCTAAAACTACTTTAGGAGCCTAGAACTACGGTGGCCTTCAGGTAGCGTGAGGACACGAAAGGCTCCACAGAGCTGTAGAAACATGGTTGGGGCAAACATGGCAGATTCTGTCAAGATCACATGGATACAAAACTGCTCATTTGAAGGGTAGAAGTAGACTAATTAAAACACGTTTATGATAATTATACTTCATTTTTGTGAATAGATCCCCAAAATACTACACACTACTTTAAGACGTGGAAGTATTGGGGTTTTTTTTTCTGCAGCCCCACGCCGGCGAGGAGCCTCATCCACGGACCTGGGTGGGATGCCGGAGGAAGACGGGACTGGTGGCGAGCTGTAAACATTGATAACCATAGCGATGCACATAAAAAAAATTAAGCGTTTGGTTGCAGATAAAAATAGAGTCACCATACACATTATGCTTTGACGGCGCTGAGTCTCTGATGCTGAAAGATGTGGCGCTGACAGGCTGGCAGGCGAGAGAGAGACACTGAGGCAGAATGATTGGCTTCTCCTCTTTGATGTTCCCGTCTGACTCACTCGTGGCGGCTGGTTACATCTTCAAAACCGTTCTGCGTCGACAGTTGTAATGACCCCAAACATTTCATCTGTCATATCTGAACAGCGTTGTGACAACTTCGAGTGAAAAGAATATACTTCTGTGACCAAACTTTGTGCGATGTTCTTATATCTTTCCACAAAAGGAGAGAAGTTATTAATTTGCATTCGCCACAGGCTTTAAATTTGATGTAATTACCCAAAGTTACTTCCGATTTGAATTACAAGTTTTCTAAACAGTGAAGGAACAAATGCAAATGTGCAAATATCAAAAGAAGCAGAAGATTTTTTTGTGCGAACGAATTGAGTGCAAAGTTTAACTTTAATAAATTCTTATTAAAGAATAACAGTTAACTAATGGAAAATGACCACAGTGGCTCGGTGCAGTCAAAGGGCACATTTTTATTAGTCGAACCATGTGCGAGACCGATAACCCATTCAAAGTCCGCCTTTGTGTGCCCATTTGTATTTGTATTTTTTTGTTTATATGTGAAGAGACCAAACATCCCCATTCCATGCAGTCCACAGGGTGGGAAGCGGTTTCACATGGGGGTTTTTGTTGGGATTTCTCTTTCATGTGGAAACAGTCTCTGGGTCCCTTTAGCCTGTGTGTTGTGACAGAGGATAATGAAATTCACAACATCTGCCATTCGTTAGGCCCTGTTTGGTGTAACCGATCTCCTTTTTTTAATCCGCGGACTTCCAACGTGTGAGCAGCGCCGCGGCTAGAATGAAGGAGATGGATCCCACGGCCTCTGCGGGTCTGCAGCCGGCCGCCCGGAAGTGGTTTTGCATCCGGACCTTTCTCTCCTCAGGCCCGAGAGTAAGCTCGTTCCCCCGCTGCACTCGTCCCCGACTTTCTGAATGTGTATTACGCGAGTGGAAAGGTACACGTGACCTTGTGGGATTTGCTCCTATTAGGAAAGTAGAGACACTTGATTGAAGGCCACCACGTGTAGGATTTGAATGTTATACTTTGGCGCCAGCAGGTGGTAGTGTTAAAACAAACAACTCAGGGGACAATATCTGTTCAACAAGATAAAAGACATGCATTCTAAATGTAAGCAGAAAGAATTATTCAGTGCAATTTTTAAGCTACAATAATCAATACCTGTTGGCAAAAGGGTCAGTCATAGTGTCCTGGAAAAAAAAATGTGAGTCCACTAAAAGTAAAAGTAAGTAAGTTTGTCCACTAATTAATTAATTGATCTTTGAAACACAAAAGCGGCACTTCAAATCTTCTGTCTACCTGAGATGTTCTTGTACTTTTCTAAGAAACATGAAGCATGAACAACTGATCGCCTGAAGATTTCTTACATGAAAACTGAAAGCAATTTCAGCTAATTTATGAATAATAGTGGGCGGGCCATTGGCCCGATTAGCACCCTCTGTGCTACATCTCGGCTCTTTTTAACATTTTTTGTATGTTTCGGCTCATCTTTTGGTTCTGGTCCACAACTTCCGTGTCCGTTCACGCTTGCTGTTCCCATTAGCTTCATTTTAAAATACACCCGCTAGACGGCTTCCCAGCACCAAACAGCAGAGAGGCACGCTTAGCGACCAGTTGGCGAACACAGTGGAGCATTTAGCATGTACAGAGATCATGGTTGGTAGAGACCAAAAATTAGTGTGAATTCTTCAGGTGGACGGAAAAAACGTCTCCAAATGTCGCTCCATATTTTCCCGAGGTTTAAAGAAGAACTCTTCAGGTGATTTCACAAACTTGGGGATGTATAAAGATCAATGATACAGATCACAGCATGTTATTTTGACCGAGACAAAAAGGTTTCCTTAAAGAATGTGCAAGACTGAAAAAGAAGAAAAAAACTTTCATTGGATTGCACAAGAGTCCAAACGAGCAATCACATCGGTATGTAAAGGGTGTATACGGAGCTGGGATTGCTTGACACGGACCAGGAGGTAATTTGTTGGAGATGGATTTGGAGGGAAGACTCAAAACATCATCAGAGTGTCAGAATCACCTCTTCATCTGAAAGCAGCGGCTGAGAAGGTGGATCAAATCAATCTTGATTCCTTTGGTACCTCCTATGCCCATCATCCACCTTCTTCATTAAACCTGGAATGTGCTTCAAAGAATGCACACTTTCTTTCCTCTGTGAATATAAAATCTGATATTCATCAGCCGGTACAATATGTGCCGATTTAACAAAGCATGCACTGCAACGGAGGGAAGCTCCAGAGTGTACAGTGTGCCATGGAGAAAAGCCACGACCACGTCTCATTTGTCTCCTACAAGAGCTCAGTCTGGTTTATTTAAAAAAGATTTGTCCCCATATTTAAGTCCAACTCAATTGTAATCGCTTTTTTTTGGTCTGCTACAGTTACAAATCGGTAAAAAGGACTTGTCCGGAGACAAAAAAAAGAAAACAAAAAGGGATAGGCCTACATCAAACACTTTTAGCTTTCATGACGACGGCCCCTAGTTTTGCATTTACTCTTTTTTTCCCTCTCGATAAATGGTGCATATTGCAGACTGACGCTGCTTACAATCTGAAATCCCACAGGGTACGAAGGACACAAGTTAAGCAGGGCTTAGTCCAAGTTTAGTTTAGTAAGCTTACTTCGCCCCCTACCGAGGATGAAGGTGGCCGGGTCACATCGCGGTTCTACCGCCTCGCCGGCAGGGGGCGGTCGAGGCCGGCGTGCATCTGCGCAGTCGCTCACCGCGCAGCAGTGCTTCCGCCATCAGATCAGAGAGAGCGAGCAGCCTGTGCCCGGATCAAAATACAAACAATGGGCAAGAAGCACAAAAAGCACAAGTCCGAAAAACACGGATATGAAGGTATTTCATTTCCACACTCGCCGAGCAATCAACCGCTTGAACTGTTTGCTGATTTGAATACATTGCTGAAAGCCCCCGCCATTGTTAGCTGTGTTAGCACGACCATAACCGAGCTTATCCACCACCGTGCTGCTAGGCTAAAGTTAGCCGCACAGGCCGATGTAACGTTACATGCTTACTTACCTAATTCCTCTGTCGATATACCCCAAGTCCTTACGAATACAAGGCAGGCAGCGATGTATTACCGGTCAGCGTTAGCTGTACGTTGTAACTGCACTGGCAATGCCTGCCAGATAAGCTAACGTTAGCTACTAGCGACTGCTGTCACGGGTCCGTCATCAGATGCCCACGGTTCGGTCTGTAATGCGGCTGGTTGACTTGGTATCCGCAGAGTACGGAGAGAGACCTCTGAAGCTGGTGCTAAAGGTTTCCGGAAACGAAGTGACAACGGGAAGTTCGAGTCTGGAAACGTTTAAAGAGGAACCGCCGGCGGACTTTGACAAACCCAAAGAGAAGAAGAAGAAAAAGAAGAAGGATAAAGAGAGGGGCTTCGGGTCTCCGGAGGACGACAGAGGAAAGAAAAAGGTAACGAGACTAAAGATCATATCCCTTTTCGTCTTTCCGGAGACCAAGTTACTAAGTGTAACTTAACATGGATTGTCATCATGTTACATGTCTCGTTTGCTTCTGTGATGTTAGATAACAAAGAAGAAGAAGGGCCAGGAAGCGGAGGATGATGAACGTAGCAGAACCCCGATCCGCTCCGAGCTGGACCGGCTGGAAGGTGGGCTTTCATTTCCCTTCTGTCCTGCAGTTTACGTCTATGTCTTTCATGCAAAAACGTCTCTTGATGCTATTGTTTGTTTTTCTCGTAGAAAAGGAACAAACTCCTCTGCAGGAGGCTTTGAACCAGCTCATCAGGCAGCTCCAAAGGTGCGGCATCGGACATTTATTGGAATGACATGATTGTGTGTCAGCTGGTTGATTTAGAAGCTCCTGCTCATTCAGCAGTAGGTCGCCCCACAGTGCGTGTGATTACATCGGGGACTACTGCCCCCCCCCCCACCTACGGTAAAGCCAGTGTGTTTTCTCCGCAGGAAAGATCCCAGTGCTTTCTTCTCGTTTCCGGTGACGGACCTCATTGCACCCGGCTACTCTTTGGTAATCAGACAGCCGATGGACTTCAGTACAATAAAGGAGAAAGTAAAGAATGATTACTACCAGTCGTTGGACGAACTCAAGGTATGTGTCTGTGGGTATGGTTGTTGCATCCCAAGTAGGGCCACACAACAGGATAAATAATGTTATATCAACTTTGAAGTTTTCAGGATGTCAGCATTCGCAGATTAGCTGTGCCGCATTTAGACGGCTATAACTTATTTCAAAGTGTAAGATACTTATATGAATTTAACATTTTGTTTAGCGGGACTTGTGGATCTGGGCTGGCTGTAGGCAGATAACCAATTTTAAAGGCCAAAAAAATGCCTTAAAACAGCTTTCACGTGGGAGATATTGATCACGTTGGATCAGTGTCAAACTAAGAGAATCTGTGCAGATTTTAAAAGTAAATTACCAAAAAGTAGTTCAATGTTTTCCCCTGTAACCACTAGCGTGGGCCAATGCCTAATTTTTGTTGTGTTGAGGGTAATACACTCTTCAATGCAATGTCATTCACAGGAGGTGTCTTTTTGTTGCGTGCTTGACATGTTGTGCGTTGATGCAGGGCGATTTCAGGACTATGTGCGAAAACGCCATGATTTACAACAAACCTGAGACGATTTACCACAAAGCAGCAAGGAAACTGTTACACTCCGGAATGAAGATCTTGAACCAGGTATGAAACTTGTTGGTCATTCAGACCATTACATACTGTGAAGTTATCGACAGGTTGCGTTATAAAAAACAAGAATAATCTTGTTTTACCTTCTTGGTTTGATGCTTGAAGTGTTTTCAAACTCTTGTTAGTTTAGAGTCATGATTAGTTTACCTTATTATCTGTGGGGAAAAAAGTGACAGTGAAAGTCTCAAAGTTCTCTACTTCTCTAAACCCAGATGGTGTTTACTGCACCGCACATTTAAACCATCGTCCACACAGGAAGCTTTCTTTGATAGTTGCTGCAGTGACTAAGTTAAGCTACATTGCTGTTGCTATAAAGCACCAGATGGGGGCAGCAGATCACCTCCAGTTGTAGCAGTAGTACAACCAACAGGTTTATCCAGCCATTCTCTCATCTGATCCCGTGGGAGCAAAAAAAAAATCGAAATTTGAAGATGTCTATCCAACAGGAAAGACTGGAGAGCCTGAAGCAGAGCATAGACTTCATGTCTGGCCTCGACCCTTCGGCCACGCTGCCGGGAAAGGCTGAGGAGCACGGGGGCACCGGCCTGGACCAGAAAGGAGAAGGAGCCTCGACCACAGGCGCCAGCGAGCGATCCCAGACACCCAGCACACCCAGGTCCTTTAAATTCATGTTTGTTAAAGTCACAGTATATGCCACTTTGGCTTAGCTGCTCCTAAGCTAGGAGTGGCCCAAGTTCAACACGAGGGAGAAATTATATTCATCGGTTCACTACTTGAATCCCCTGAATGTTGATATTTTAGCCTCTTTTGAAGTTGTCTTAAGCTGGATGACGCAATTATCTCTTAAACTGCCTCAAACTACAACTTTCAGCTGTCCTTTTCAAGCTGAAATCCGTTTTACGGGAGGGTGGGGGGAACGGGGGGGTTGGATGGCGCTACAACAGGAGACACTAGGAAACGTGTCAATACAGGTTTTTTGATCTCATGGAACCCGTCGTCTGAACTGAACGCAGTTGGTTTTGTATCTGATTTGCATCTTAAGGGAAATGACTTCTTTTCACCGCTGGAGGTTGAGAATGTGAAGAATGCCTCTCAGCTTGCTGGGTCTCGTTCTCTCTCTAGGCGTTGCATCTTTCAAATGTGTGTTTTTGTGCCCAGTGCTGAAACCGCACCATTGCATTTAAGGCCGGTGTGTGCTTTTTAATGTATCCACGCTTTACCATCAGTATTACAGCAGGTTACATTTAGTTTCAAATGTTAATGACGTCCGTCAGCAAAGCGCTTCCTGCTGTATTGTCTGAGGAATGAAAGCAGAATGTAGGCGTTTAATTAACAGACGCACTTGCACAGATTTTGTTCCCGCAGTATTTTGCTGCAGTGTGAATGTTTTTTTTTTTTCTTCATTTTTCTTTTTGCAGCAGTAAAAACCTTTTCATTCAGGCGCAACGTGTCTCAGCTGTCTCGTCTTTCAATTCAAGTCCTTCATTTGCAGACAGGAAAAGGACTCCAAGGACGAGGCGGCCAAAGTAGAGAAAGAGCTTCAGGAAATACGCAAGGTCATCGCGGAGTCTGGAGGAAAGCTGTCCAACCGAGTGCTGCAGTGCGATGTGAGGAAGCAGGTTTATAAAAAAATCCCAAATCCACTTCTTACAAAATAACGACATTAAGAAAAGTAGCCAACGTTAGAGCCCCCAGTCAAGATAATATTCATACTTCTCTATCAGCCTACTGGGACATTGTTTTTTCAGACGTTCTGGTCATGGTGGTTGGTTAGTGATGGTTCAAAGATTTCTTTTCACATAAAATCTTTTCCTGAAAGTGTTTTTTTTAAGGTGTTTTCTGCCATTGAGCCCTGTCATGTCTTTGTTTAGTTGCAGTTTGCAAGGCAAAAGCCTGATGGCTCCACCACTATGGCAGTTCTCAACCCGGCAGATCCATCAGCAGGAGGTGGGTCCATCTTGACTCACGATTGAGTGCAAACAATGTCCCAATGTGTGGACAAAAAAAGCGATCCGTAGACATCAACTTGGACATGTTTTTCAGATGCTTAGTTGGTAAGATGTCTGGGTGTTCTCTGTTACAGAGGCCGGTTACTGTCCTGTGAAACTGGGCATGATGTCCAATCGGCTGCAGAGCGGCGTGAACAGCCTGCAGGGCTTCCGGGAGGATAAACGGAACAGGATCACTCCAGGTAATACTTCTGTAACTGCTCACGGCTGATTTCAGACACCTAGAACCCGACCGAGGAGATAACGAGCAACCCTCTCCGCAGTGTCCTACGTCAACTACGGGCCGTTCACCTCCTACGCGCCCACCTACGACTCCAGCTTCGCCAACGTCGGCAAGGAGGACTCCGACCTCGTCTACTCGCTCTACGGCGACGAGTCCGAGTCCTCGGGCTCCGACAGGTACGCGCAGCAGCAGCACCACGGCGAGCACGCTCCAGCTCCGAGGCATTCTCACTGAACGCCAACCCCGACACATTCCTTGCGGGTTACTTTCCGGAATCCTCTTATTTATTTCTCACTCTGGAGGAAGCTCAGCTTTCTGTGCTGTATGCGGCCGTCCTGCCAGTGTGCAGGCGGAGGATCAGTCGACTTCTCGTAGCTCTCGGCTAAGACTGTTTTTGACCTCTGAAGCAACAGCCGTACATGTTTTTCTCTGTGTGTTTGGCAGCTTATCAAAGTTCCTCGCCAAATCGGACGAGTACATGTACAAACTGGCGGACAACGTCCTGGATGCACTGACGAACGGCGAGCATTCAAAAGGCCTGAAGGAAGCTGAACCGGTAAGCGCCTCATGTGGTCCCTCAAACTGATGGCTGGCTTCCTTTATCTCTGGAGTTAAGAGGACGGGAATTCAGGGGTATCAATTGACCGAACGAGTTGTGCTCCGGTTTTCCAGCAGGTGGAGGAGGACACGAATACACGAGAGGACTCGGATGACATGGAGGTGAGAGTCGACACCTGGATCAACACCCCCCCCCCTGAGTGATAAGCAGCGAGTGGGTGGAAATAAGCATCAAGTTCACGGAGATAAACATCCACCATCGTCCTCGCTGGACGGGATGTCCGGAGGAGCAGCGCGCGTTACCCACAATACTCTGTTTCATCTTGTCATCACGATGGCCTCTGCAGACTGATGCTACGTCAAACCAGCTGTGTCAACATCGCAGGGGCCAGCCTTCAGCTGTGCGCCATCCACACATGGAAAGAACGCCGCCCCTCCCCCCCCCCCTCAAAACACAGCGGTGCTACTCACGCAAGGCCCGCTGTCAAAGAATTTGGAGAGGCCCGTGTTTTCTTACTGTGCCCGCTGGCTGCGCGGCTGAATCGCTCCTCAGAGCAGAGGAGGAAAGCAGAGTACAGGCACACAGCGGGCCTCTGTCCCGGCTGTTTGCTGCTCTTGGCCGCTCTCCAGCACAACTCTCATCCCCCTGTGCTGGCGGGGGGGGGGGGGGGGTTTATCCGCAGCTTTTTCATTAGGTTTGATTTAAGTGGAGCGAAGAAGCAGCGCGACTAAAGAGGCTCCAAAAGGCCAACGTGTTCCCTTGAAGCGTCGGCCGTCTAGTGTGGAATCCTTTCCTCTTTCCTGACTAAACACGTCTCCCCCCCCCCCCTGTCTCTCGTAGGTAGCGAAGCCTGAAGCGTCCAGCTGCAACAGGCTCGACCTCCTGCTCTGTGCTGCGAGACCGCAGACGGCTGAGGAGCTCTCTGGGGGTAAAACGTCTTTCTCTATGCTGCAACTGACAGATATTCATTTTCAGACTGGTCTTTATTCTACGTTGGGGTGTCTTCCAGGTTAAACAATTTAACATTTAGCAGATTTGTGTACTAACCATTTACACAGAAAATATCTAGTTCACAGTTTTGCCCAGGCAACAGTTCAAAACTTCAGTTAAGAATTAAATGAGATATGGTTTGGAACAATCGGGTAAATCTTGACATTTGCACACAACAAATGGCTCGTAGCTTTTTAAGAATCACAATGAAAACCAGGAAACTGTTCTTTTGGTGCGTCGTATTTATAATGAATCTGTAACTGCAAGAACTTTCCTCGTGACAGATCACACATGTGATGATCTGTCAAGCAGGACACAGAGTTGTGAACCTGCCTAATGCGCGTTCAGAGGAACATGGGAACAAAGCCTTTTGCCAATGAGGTCAATGGAAAAAAAGAAAGCAGCCTTCACCTCAGGCAGTTCGACGAGCCCATTTCGTATTCCATTATGCATCCTCTCAAAGCTGACCAACGACCCCCTAAAGTTTGTGCCCTCCCCCCCCTCGTGGACTCGAGACGGGCAGGTCCACATTGGGACACAGGAAGAATAGATGTTTTGTGTTCAACCAAGGAACTCTGAAGCTACCGCGAGGTAACCGGAGGAAGCACTAACGGTATGTTTGTGGACCCCCCCTCCCCCTCCCCCCGATCTGTCACAGAGGCCCTGCTCTTCCAGAGGAAATTGGACGAGACGACAAAGCTCCTGCGGGACTTGCAGGAGGCACAGAAAGAGCGGCTGAGCGCTAAGCAGGCCCCCAACATGATCTGCTTGCTGGCACCAACCGCCAAGGAGCTGGAGCTGGGTAAGAGTCCCCCACCTCCCGCCCCCTGGTTCCAGGCGTTATGCTAACAGCAGCTGGTGGTAGATTCATATCTCTTGTGCAGACATAAAGAATGGTGTCAATCTTCTTATAATGTTCGGTGCTTAAACACAACACAGAGCTTCTTGTGCAAATAACACACTGTGTAATAGAGACTTAAACCGGAGCGAATGTCTCGGTGACGTTTTCCTTTGGGCTCCTCCTGTGTCTGCAGCGGAGAAGGTGACTGGGAACTTGGCCGAGTTGACGGGTCAGGTGGCCCCGTGTGACGTCAGCAGTGTCTATGGCATCAGGAAGGCAATGGGCATCGCTGCTCCTCCAGAGCCCCCGGGGCCCTTCATTGACCTCACCACAGGTAAATACCGACCTGTACCTGGTATCTACTTTTATAGCACATTGCTGAAGAATTCCCCTTAATAATACGCTGCTGCTGGAGATAGAGCCAACTACTTCCATTTCCTTTTTAATGTTATCTTGCTGGACATACCAAGCGTTGATAAGGTTTCCCTTTGAGCTCTGAGAACTAATCAGATTTAAACAAACGGTGCAATCAATCGACTAATCTTGGTGATCTCTGTACTTTTACTAAAAGATCGGAGGACATCCTCTGCCACTGAATAACATTTATTTTTAGTAGTAAAATGTGAACTTAACCGTACAAATACAGCAGTGTCAACGAGAACTCAGCATCCAATATACATTTCAATGTTTACAGTCCAGGAGGCGGCTGAACCCATGGAGTCCTCGTCCGGGTGTCAAGATCCAGCTCCAGTCATCACTGTATGATGAAATATCTTACCACCTTTACAGTTTCATAAGTTAAGTTTTTTTGTATGAACGGTGCTTTTTGTGTGACATTTGTAAGCATTTCAGTCATTAAACCTCTTTTTTTATATAAACCTCGGCTCTTGGTAAACATCTTGTGACAAACTGCAGACATAGGAAAACATTTATTACATTCTGTAGCTGTACAAAACTCAACGTCACATTTGTTCACATAAAGGCCATAACGTATTTATAGTTATTATCTAACTGCAATTACAAACAAAGTGACAGTTTTAAAAGGTAAGGCCACGAGATCAATAGAGTTTCAGAGACTTCACACCCGGGCAGACTCCAGACGTCTCCCTCATCGCAGCACTTATGCAGACAAGCAGAATATTGACTCGGACGACAGGACGTACATACAGCACATTGTGTACTTTTCAGCGGCTATCTTGTCATACAAGTAAAATCAAAACACTACACCGCCGTATCCAAGATCACACGAAGAGCAAATGTGTGGATCCGGTCACTTTTAATTGGTCAGAGAGTGAAACTACTTCTGCTGATGATGTGACGACGTCCCGGAGAGTTTTTATGTGTATTTACGTTTGTCCTCTGTACAGCCTGCTTCTGTTATTGAGTCCGCCTCACATAAGTCCTGCTCATTACACAGTAACAGAGCAGTGTGTCCATCCGCTCTCAAAACAGGAAATCCAGATGGGTTTCACATTCTGACCCCAACAGAATCCATTGTTTTGTGTTTAAAGGACCAGAGAGATATTCAAAAAAAAAATGACACAGCTGTATTTGGCATTAGTACAATATACTTGTTTTTCCTCTATCGCAAACAACATCTAAAGTTAAAGACTCCAAAAAAAAGTACGAAAGTGACGGATCACCAGACGTAAATGTATGTAGGAAAACCACTGGTCACCTCTTCGCCCCGATGGGCTCCATCCTGAGCCGCTCCACGGGTCCGACGTAGGAAGCGTCGAGCCGGCAAGAGTCCACTCACTCACATTAGCAGGAAACAGCCGTCCGTCCCCCTCGACACTTGTGGGGTCCGTGATCTCCTCCGGTCCGCCTCCACGAGCGCCGGGCCTCAGCTCAGACCCATCCCTTGCTGCTTGCTCGTGTCGGTGCACAAGAAGAAGGTTTTCAGCTCCCCTTTGCCCTTGACGCTGATGAGTCCCCGACACTCGCACGAGTAGCCCAGCTTCTGCAGCACGTCGGACGTTTCCACCGTCACCTGGAAGCAGGACGAAGAAGTCCCGGTTAATGACCTCTACTGTGTCTCGTCGCTTAGTGCTCGGATCTGGGAGACGTAAACGAAATCACTTATTTCCAAAATCCAGCGAGGGTAAACCACCTCGCAGCGAACAAGGACGGTGGTTTCTACTGCAAGTTGAAGCATGAATTGCTTTGTATTCGCCGAGGAGAGTGATGCGGGAGCGCAGGGCAGAAGAAAATTAAAGGGACCATTTGCCACCTGTTCTGTGGATGTCCAATTACTGCTGATGGAAAACGTAGTCATCCTGATCAAATTCCCCCCTCGAGTGCTATATTGAAAGCTGCTGTTTCCTGCTACCGGGGAACGTGCGTGCGAGTTCACCACGTCTGATAATTAAGAAAACAATAAACTCACAAAATGTCAGCTCAGGAAATATTTTCGAAAACACAGCCGTGTCCCTTTCCTACAGCCGAAAACAAAGACTCATTGTAAAATACCTGCCCGACTCACGTTGTTTGGTCGGAATAATCCTCATTAACAGCTAAATGTAAACGTATGCCGGCTACGCTGAAGCTCCCAGGTTGATATTTGAGAACTGACGTGGGACCGTTTGACCCTCGGAGAACGGCAGACGTCGGCCTCTTGTCGGACCCCCGCTGAATGTACCTGGATCTTCCCCAGCTCCCCGGTGCTCTCCATCCGGCTGGCCACGTTCACCGTGTTGCCCCAGATGTCGTACTGAGGTTTCCTCGCCCCGATCACTCCGGCTATCACCGGGCCATGATTAATGCCTGGGAAAAAAAAAACATGGTACTGTTGCTGAAAAATCCATCAGATCTCACTGACATTCACGGACAGGCTAACATTCAGAAGAGGAGAGTTGAGAGGCAAAAAGGAACACTCTTTTGTTTTGTTAGTTGATACACTAAAGAAAGGCACTATGTCACTATATATATATATATTTTTAAATCAAATCACATCTCTGTGTCACTGGGAAGTTTGCAGTAGAGAAATGAGTATGACATAAATGGTTGAAGAAGAAGTCTGCGCCAAACACTTACACTTTTTTTTAATAAAGTGGATTTTCTTTTAAAGTCGCACAGTGTTTGGACTCAGCCGCTGATAAGAAGGTTGATACACATTTCGATGTTTATGCACTGTCAATGTTTTTATCTCTGAAGAAATGTAAATGTTTTAAATAAATCCTCTGTACTGTAAGCTCTCTGTTAAGAATCAACTGTTGTTAAAGTTTGGTTCTGTCTCCGTTTAATGGCTCCACTTTATTGAATAGTTTGATGCTATTGAGTGGAAACCTTAAAATAAGAATTACAAAGCAGATGCATCATATTCCTGTCAAAGGTTAGAGAGGTTGAACTTCACAAACTGATCATTCAGGGAATGCAACTGCTCTCGTCGCTGGGACCCTGCGCAGGTGCCAGCTGTGCACGTTGTAACCAAGGTAACCTGTTGGGTCGTCAGCTGGACGCACTGCGGTGCACCACTCAGTCAATGACGGGTTTGTGCTGAAGCTGTCACTCACCCACACGAAGCCTGAAGCTGTTGAAAGAATGTCTGTTGATGCCGTCCAACTTCCCGATCAGGGCGATGGCAAACTCCACCATGATGCCGATCTGGGCCTGCTGCCTCTCTCTGTCCTGAAAGCAACAACCTCAATATGACAAACCTTACTTTTTTATATATATATATATTATATGACCCGGGTCTGACCCTGGTCCGGCAGTAGCTACTCCACCTGATTGTTCTCCTGACCGGGCGTCCCGCTGAGCCCTGCAGCCGCCATGTAGGTGCTGCCAATCGTCTTGATCTTCTCCACACCGCTGAACTTTGGTTTGGACAGCAGCTAACGAGAAACCAAAAAAGGGAGCTTTAAAAGACATCACGTGTCATCTGTTGGGGAAACCAGCACCTCCAACACATTCTGGAATGTTTGTCTCGTCCCTCTTTGTAGTCCTGACCTCGTCAAAGTCGGCAATGATCTCGTTTAGGAGCCTCAGGCATTCCAGACCCTCCTTGTTGATGTCACACTCCGTGTAAAATTCTTTGAAATCCGGCACGGAGGCGAACATCACACAGACGCAGTCATAGGACTTATAATAGAGGTCCTATTGGGGTGGGGGAGGTGTGGGGCGACATAAAAAAACACAAAAAAAGTTATTCCTTTTACCCAGAAAGAGGGAAGAAATGTTCCATAAAAGCGTTTAGACGGACGAGACTAAACTTGTTGAAAATACGTTCTTTCAAACTGATATTGTGTGATTGGCCGGTTTCTCATTCATCCCTCATCAAATAGCACGATACCAGCAGCCCCCGTCCCTCACCTCGTTCTTCTTACTCTCCCCTACAAACAGCGCTGCCACGTGGGCCGGCAGCACGTTCTCCAGCAGCAGGCGGTTCAGGTTCTCCCTGGTCTCGATCTCGTCCTGCTCCGTGCGGTTCTTGTACTTCAGCAGGAAGTCCTGGCGGAAGCAGGACTCGTTCTGGCGGGCAGAAACGCGGTGAGTCAATTCAGAAAAAGGACAAGCGTAACAGTCATTCAACTGCGTTTGTTGCAACCACTTGAAGACGTAGAGGTGGGGCTTGTCCTCACCTGTTGTGAGATGATGAGCATGGTGACCAGGAACAGGGTGATGTAGATGCAGCTCATCACCTGAGGGTGTTTCACCAGCCCCAACCAGCTCAGGACGGTGTGCTCTTCAATGCTGTGGAACACGCTCATGGCTTGACTTGACTTCCATTTGCACAGTTCACACACACGATTATTCTGTTTGAACTCTGATGGATGAATGTGAAGCGTCTCTAAGGAGCCGCGACGCTTAAAAACAAACAAACACAAAACGCCATTTTATAATCAGCCGCTGTCGACTGTCACCTGCTGCAGTTCACGTGGTGCTGCTGAGCGTAGAGAACTTTTCCGTAGACCACAAAGAGTTTCCTCTTGGTGCCGAGGATGAGGACGTAGTACGTTGTGGAGGCCAGGACGAGGAAGAGCACTTTGAGCTCAAAGCTCACCCGGAGGAAGATTCCGCATGCGATGAGCGACAGGATGCAGCAGTACACCGAGTACTGAAGGAGAGAATTACTGTTCAGTCTGATATTTAAAATGTCAAGTGTGAAAAATGGCAGTTTCATTGTTGCCGACTGGTAACAAACTCATCGCTCACAGGCAGGTAGAAGAAGACGTCTGATCCCTGCTCAAGGGAACAGTTTGTGAGACCCGGCTCTTTGATAACAGTGGAAAATTCCGGCACGGGCGTCTCGACGAAGCACTGCGGAGGTATAAATAGAGCTCTGAGGGACGGGCGACCGCGGGGCGACGTGCTTTGAAGTCTGCCGCGGCCCGGCGCCCGCGATGAGCCGCTCAACACGCGGGCGCGGACTCACCAGGTTGAACACCGACAAGATAACGATGGCCGCAGTGGTGACGGTGGCCAGAGGGAGGCGCACGCACGGCCGCTTCACCACCGCCTCGGACACGGCCGGCAGCCACTGGCACCGCGACAGCTTCTCTGGCAACAGGCGCTGCAGAGGAGAGACAGGGGGGAGGTGAGAGAGGGGGGGGGAGGGAGATAAGGCTCAAGCAGGCATTTGACACAGGTCGGGGCATCTGCAGGCGCGGGACGTTTTCCTCCGCCGGCTATTTCCAGTGACGGAATCCGTTGGAATGCGAGGAGAAAACGCTCGCCACCGCGAGGGGCCCGATCGCCAGGTCAGAAGGTCAGATATAAAAGGCCTGGGCGGACGCACGGGGCAGCCTCCATACCGGGCCGGGTCTTTGCCAGTGAAGCACACACGGCACCAGTCCCTTTCATCCTGGCCTCTAATGACAAAACATTTGTCTCTTGTAATGTGTTTTTGCCGTCTGAACATCTTGTTCCTAATCTGCGCAGGAGCTCTTAAGTTATGGCCCTAAAAAGTGCTTTTGACATTTTGATCCACATTATTAAGACAGTTCAACCCACGAGGGGATGTTTGTATCCGATGTAATGAAAATCCCTCCGGACATTCCCAGTTCATCACTTTAATGAGAATAGGACAGAAGTCTGGCCACACTAACCTTGACCTTTGACCTCAATTCCAAATGCGTTTTATTTAGAGATTTAAAGTTCACTCCTTCAGTGCGAACGTGAATGGTATTAAAAGCACAAGGTCAGTAGCTGTTTTGGAGTTTGCGGTCGCTTCACAAAATCTTCTTTTAGAAAAACGGAGTATGATTTGTACATTGCGTGTTGCGTAACAGCCCAAATAATGAGGCAGGATGAAGACGGATAATAAAAGTACATCCTTTCTGAGGACTTGACACCTTTTCATATTCATCTTGTGGCATTCGCAGAACCTGAACTGTAATAATAATCGTAAAAGAATTTCACATTTGATTCTTACTTCCGAGCAGACGGAAAATAAATCATTAAAATACCAACCTTAGAGCGGGAAAGTTTAATGTGGGTCAGGGCCAGCGTTGAAAAAAGGAAACTGTTTAGCACCGACGCACAAACCGCGTGCAATGCGTGCTGAAAGGTCGCTGTGATTCTTTTGCCCACATTCTACTAACAAAAACGCTACTTGGGACCAACTGCCTAACAAGAGCAGAAACTTCACGTGAATATCTTAAGACACTAAGACACTGACCTGGAAGTGGCCTGCAAAACAGATGGCCAGCGTCAGCAGCAGCACGCAGACCAACCCTCCAAACGACGCCCCCAACGTCTGCCGACTGAGGGAGACCAAAACCAGCGTGAAAAAAAAATACAAAGACGCACACTTGCAAGAAACGGGAGGGAATTCTGGTCGCACTCACTCCTTTGTGACAAACATCTGGACAAAAAAGATGCAGAGGAAGATGCCGGTGGCACAGCCGACGTAGTGTTTGAACATCGGCAGGTCCAGGGCTCGGTACTCGGAGGAGGAAAAAGAAAAAAAGACGCCTGAAATCTCTTGATCAGCAACAGAATGCTTGAGTGGAAGCGATGGAGGTGTGGAGTCTTGATTTGTGTTAAAATTTACCTGTTTTTCCAAGTCTTTCTTTGGAAACCACAGAGCTAAACTGCCGTTCTCTTCAGACTTGGACCACTGCCTGTGGAGGCAGAAGGAGAGCTTTAAGTTATGAGGACCAAATAAATGGCAAAATGATGACAGCACCATCTTGATAGCAATATTTCTAATAATTATGCTGTTCGTAAAAGTATTTGAAAAATCATTTAGGCCCAGCCCAACCCACTTAGCACTTGGTAATGTGGTTAGTTTAACCGGGTTGGGAAATAAATCAATGTATTTGACTATTTAAAGTTGTGACCTGACCTTGGCGCTTGATGAACAGTCGGGGATCACATAAGTTGTTCATATTTATCCCGAGTGGGGCACGAACGTTTGTCACAAATTCCATAGTAAATCCTTACAGTGGTTCTCGAGACATTTCTTTCCAAAAGCTAATGTCTACCTCATGGTTTTGCTGGAGGAAGAGTCATGGGATCAGTGACATCTGGAGGATCCATCATCGGGGGACTGTGAATGCCTGCGCTAAATGCTCTGTTCATCTATGTCGTAGTGGTTGACATATTTCATCACACACACCAAAGTACCGACCTCTCGACAAACCGAGCCATAAAATGTTAGCGAGAAAAATGTATCCCATTGTCATGCCCAAATATCTGTATTTATTATACCGTTAATGTTATTATTTCCATTCAATCATCAAAGTGCAAACTGCACTCAAGTGCCGATTTTTGACATTGGTCATATTTTTCATTCAATCCCTAACGTGATTTCACGTGTAGCGAAATAGAAATGGGCTTACTTGCTGCTGAGCTCATCTATGGTGGTAGTCATCTCGTTGTGCAGCTCTTCGTCAAACTTACTCTTCTGGGATTTGTTCCTGCACCGGAAATGGCCGAGACAATTAGGAGGAGGCAGACGAAACAGTCACTGAAACGCGCCCGCTGCTCGGAACAGATGCTGGGAAACCAGATCAACTCATGCAGGTTACTCGTCCAGCGTGGTTAATGCCATTCCCGAGCATTAGTGAGAAAGGAAAAGTATGGTTTGTGCCTGTGAGAGAGTTATCGGGGTGTGCCGGATGCTGGATGCTGTGTGTTAAAGACGATCTCTGTGGGATTCAGCTGGAGTGCGTCTGCCGTGCTTCTGCTTGGAAAGCCCGGACGCCATCAGGAAGGAAACACTCACACAGATACACACAAGCCCCAGACAGTGATCAGTGTTAATGGGAGCATGTCGGTCCACTCGCTCTACAGGTCATGTGCAGCCCTGAGGTTGTGGACAGAAAAGAGCAGCACGGTACCACTGCTTAGGTTAGTGTCAAGACACCGAGTAGCAGTAGTTTTCAACCTGTAGGAAAGGACACGCCCATTTTTGGGGGACGTGGCACTCAGAGAATTATTTAAACGGTTGGTACAAATTATATTTGTTATTTTAAACCGATTTATTGATTTTTACTCCACTTCCCGACAAATAAATACAAAATGAAACCATATTTAAATCATCTTTATATATAAGAATGTTGGAGACTTTAAATACTTATTTACTGTACAGTAACAGTCAAAAGTTTGGACACGCTTTCTCATTGAATTAAATGGATTGCTCTGCGCGAGCATCCGTTTGTTGTCGTCTTCGGGGGGGTCGTACGCCAAAAGGTTGAGAACTACTGCACCGAGGGAACAAGGGCCTTGCCGGCCACGAAGGCCCCCACTCACTTATAGCTGCTGAACGGAGGGGTGGGCAAGGAGAACGGTTCCTCTAGAGACTCATCAAAGCTGTCCAGTAGTGAAACACAAACACACAACTCATCACAAAAAAGAAGTGGGGAGCCCTAAAAAATTAAAAAAGAAAACTCCATCCAAGGCAGCCAATAACAGCTAGATACGTTCTGGTGGACAAAAGAAGCACACTTATGTAACGGTTACATTTAACCGCAGGAAATGTTTCATGGCGTCCAGCTCAAGTGTGTGCAGCTCTTTTCCCACGCTGTGCTGGTGGAGCGAGAACGCATGAATGAAATCACACAACTTCCGACTCACAGGGTGAAATGCTTCTGCTTTCGGGGGGGCACACTTTATCTTTTCCAATCACATTCAACACTCCAAACCGCAGCGTTTGTGTAGGTGGGTCCTGCCCGCTAGTCAGAAGCTACACTGTAAATATTTGTTCTCCGATGGCTCACTGCCTGTGCCAGACGGGCCGAGAGAATCAACCACAGTGAACTACAGCAATCGTCCATTTGCGTTATTGGAAGCTAATGGAAGAGCTCGTTAAGGAGCTCTGCACTCCCGCCGCTCTGCAGGAACGACCAAGTTATAGGGGAATCTAGCACATAATGGAAACATATTTTTCAGATTTTAAGAGTACCTTCACTCCCACTGGGATGTTCATGAGTTTTAACTGTAATGGATGTATATGCATAGTCGTGAATAACACAAAACATCCTGCATGTTCAGTGTAATTCTCTTTTAGATGAGACAATCAAAAGGACCTGACACAATTACATATGAGCAACTTGAAAATCCTCACATATTACAAGACGTCGGCCAACATGACCATCAACATTTCTAAGCAAGCATCTTGTACATTATATCAATCTCTCTGTGTGCGGTGCTACCACATGGCATTGTTAATGAAATGATGTGATGGAGCGGTGACCAGTTGAGACTCCATGAGCGGGCGGAAAAGTCCTGGCAGGAAAGGATGATGGGAAACACTTGCAGCTATGGGGCAACGGTGTTGTGTTGCACAAGCTTCAATTGTTAATGTGTGCGTGCACACTCGCTCTGTTACAGTTCGATATATGCAGCTTTAAATAATAATAATAGTCACCTCTCGGTCATCTTGGAGCCGGGGGCTGGTCGTAGAGGGATTTCCTGGAAAAAAAGACAGGGACGGCGGTCACTCAATAAGAACGAATGGCGCCACTGAAATTTCATTTATTCAGACTCTTTTATTTGACAAATACTTTAATTCCATTATCTAAGGTGGGAATTTCGCTATGAGATACCCTTCATAGAATCAGCAGTTATTCATCAAAAAGTTCCAAATCTAGTTATTATTAAAAGATTTGACTGGATTTTGGCAGCTGTCGCCCGGTGAACGACTGACAGCAACCATCTCCTTACCTTGGAGCGGGACTTGCCGTTGACAATAGCGTCCGCGGTGAAGCCCTCTCGACTCTGAAGGTGAGCAAAAGGCTTGACGGCCCCCCAAGACTCCAGGTAACGGGTCATACGCACCGACGCCCTCATCTTCAGACCGTCTTTCACCCGAGGTTTGGGCGCGTTGCGGCTGTTGGAGGTTGGATCCTTAGACTTGATACACAAACGCACGTGATTAAGTCGAGGAAATCAGGGTGAGCACGTTCCATCAAAGGGATTTGAGACTGCTGAGCAATCTTCTACAAGTGGAAATCCAGTGAGCTAAATGGGGCCGAAAGCGCACAATGCCTGGAAGAGCGTTACGCCACGGATGAGGTGAAGAGGCTGAAGACCCGACGGCAGAGCGAATGTATACTCTCTCACCCGAGGATCAATGACCAGGTGGGTTTGGACGTTGAGCTCTTTCAGGTAGGAGTCCCTGAGGTGCCCGTTGCCGTCTTCCACTTCATAAGCCTTGTTGAGGTGCTTCAGAGTGGCCTCAGTGATGTGGACACGTCTGACCGAGGGAGTCGCAGGAGAAAGGTTTTAACCCTTTAACACGCTTATTCACTGCAGTGACACTATTGTTTATTTATTTCCTTGATCAATTTTAAAAGACTATAGTATAGACTATGGATCCGTTTATTAATTTATTTTCCAATGTAACATATAGACTTTCTTTGAATTATTAAATAAAGTTACATTAAGCTAAAGTAACATTCAAATTGTTATAATGAAATTATTTTTATGCAATGTGTAATAATACATCATAATATATTAAATTACCAGAAACAATTATCCAAACTATGATACATAAATGTGTTTAAAGAGTAAGATGTAAAATGAACACAGCCTACCCCGGAAGGCCCCCGGACTCCATGTGATTGGCCAGCGTGACATCATGTGACCAAACGTCAAACTGCCACTTGCGGAGGCCGATGACGCCGCAGAGCACGTTGCCCGAGTGCACGCCCACCCTCATGTTGATGTCCACCCCCGTGGCCTCCCGTACCTGCCTGCGTGATGTTACATAGTGATACAAAAGGCTCAATGTTTGTGTGCGCAGAGCACATTCCAACTAGGAAATCACACAAAAACACATTGAATGTTTTAGGATCATTTACGGAATGTGTCGATCAGGGTGCAGGTTGACGGTTGGCACAAACTCACTTGATGGCTTCGCACATGTCCAGCCCCATCTTGACGCAGTTCTTAGCGTGTTTGGGCAGAGAAACGGGCAGCCCGGACACACAGTAGTAGCAGTCCCCAAGGATCTTGATTCTCATGCACTCGTTTTCCTGCAAGAAACGACGATGACAAGAGGAGAAACCTGGTTATTTGCCTGGTAAATATTGTGAAAAGGCAAAAATACTTAACTGTGCAGGTAGACGGGATATGAGGGCACACATACCGACGCATCAACCAATCAGTGGCCAATCAATACAACCCCGTCTCTTAACCGAGGTTAAGAGTTGTTCCGAATAACTAATATGAAGACATTCTAAATGACTCACCTTGGCAATTTGGTCAAATTTTCCAAACAATTCATTGAGCATAATAACGAGCTCTTTGGGAGAACAGTCGCTGGCCAGCCGGGTGAAGCCCACAATGTCAGCGTATAGAATGCTGAAAGGAGAAAAGAATACAGGAAGAGTAAAAGAAGAGGAGAACAAAAAAGAGAAAACAACAGTGGTGACAACAGCGCCCTTCAAAGTCGACGTCCATGAAGCGGATACCTGCAAAAGCCCCAAAAATAGCCCCTCATGCAATGTGTCTGTTACATTTTTAAACTTCCAACAATCAATAGCTGGTGAACACTATCCGTGTAACTTCTGTCTATCTGTAACAATCTGTAATAATGTCCAAGCTGCTCACAAAAAAACTAAATTTGAGGAGACCAGCCGTGTTGTTTCAATCTGTCAATCAACTTTACAAACTGATCCGTACCGCCTGATGCACTCAACCAGTCTGGAGTGCATTGAACCATATTTTGTCCTCTAAATGTTAGAGTGTTTTCGGCCCATTATGACCCATTATGAAAATGTTGGCTCCTGAGTTAGGATGTAGGATTTGAAGCAAAAATTGAAGAAGAAAAAAAAGCCTCTGCTCATCCTCCAGTTACCCCCTAGAAGCCCCAATCAGTGACTCATTAAAAAGCCTGTCTGGTTCAATGCTGACTCATGGGTTGTTCATCATCACAAGCTGCCGATCACCGGACCCCAGAGGGCCGCGGTCACCTCATCTGACGTCTGAAAGACCCCCGACACGACCAGCTGGAAGTCTGACCTACACGGGGCGCCTGGCACCAGACCTACAGCATGTTGGGAAATGACGGTTCACATCCTTTTTAAACTGTACGCATTTAGAATAGCAAAATACCAAGATTGCCACCAAAGACGACACGTAGGTTGCTGGTTTTACTTGATGACCTCGTCCAGCCACGGCCGGTTTCCGGCACCGGCTGGTTAAATTCGGGGAGCCTCGGGGGGGAAGCTTGGTAACTCACTAACTTTCAGGTGACCAGCGGAGGGACACAGATGCTGCACCCGTTTCGTAGGCTGAATGTAAAACGGCCAGGTGCTCCGCGAGAGAGACAACGCAGCTGCAGACCGGTCAGACTGCGGTTATTAGAGGGATCCGTCATTCAACACCGTGTCACTAAATGAACATAGTGGGACTCATACCTGCTGTGTTCACCAGGACCTCTTTAGTGTCCAAACCAGGACCTATTTAGTGTCCAAACCTTCTAATAATACATGTATAAATGAAATCAATAAAACCCTGGTGAAAAAAAAGATTCATTACTGGGTCACCGCTCTGAAAACAGACAGTCATCATAATCTGTCTTCGCAAAAAGGGGTCAGGCTCATTTTTGCAAAGTGTATGAGCGAAAAACTAAGAATTTATAAAATGATGATGAGATAATAACAGTGGCCGTTTAACGTACAGCTTTCTGTGTATTTTAAGGAGGTTTGTGGTCCTACCTGACGTTCTCGTGCCTCTTGACATAAAGACTGTGGAAGTTGTTATCTTTGACCAGTCGCTGTTGTTCTTCTTTGTCTTTACAGTCTTGCAAGCGCTCCATGATTGCGAGCTTCATCTTCATGGAGATGTAGACTGGGAGCACAGACTGCAGCAGGTTCTCCTGCAAAAAAAACACACACACATACATCACTGCAATTTGGGTGTGGCAGGTTTATTTGACTGTAACACTCAATGAACAGTGATGAGAAGAAAAAATAGCGCCTGGGAATAGCCACAAAACACACACACACACACACACCAAAGCACATAGACAAGCTCAGACTCCCAGACCCACTTCTTCAACACCAGCAATTAACTTCTTCTTCTCTTTTTTTTTAAATAACCCTCTTCAGAACGAGCAGTTGGTGCTTCAGTAATGTCCCCCAAAAAAAGAGTGTTGCGCTTTTAAGTGGTATTTAGAGCTGGGGTGTTTCTCGAGAGAACCGGCATGTTGGAACAGGTTTAAATGCAGTCAGTGATACCAAAGAGCTTCAAAACACGGTGTCACCGTTCTGCCAGGACAGCCGACTGACGGTGAACATGGCGAGGAAGAACATTCCCCGCTGCGTGTCATTAATTCAGTAATAGAATACCATCAGAGTCAGGCTGCCGTGATAGTCAGAGGCCCAAGAAGTGTTCAGAGCCCAATGACTTAATTAAGACAGAAATCTGAAGAGGCAACTTCTCAAGAGAGGAATTAATCCCTCGTCAAACCACCTTTGAAGAGGTTTGTGTCTAATGACTCGCTCACATTGAAGGGACTTATTCCTTAATGAACTGCGCTTGAAGATGTTGTACTGATTTCTTCTGTATTTAAGCAGAGAAGCCCGTAGGTCCAAATGATGTATTTCAGCCAATAAAATCCGGATTTTCTGGGATGGGGAGTGTGTGTGAACAGTTAAGTCTGATTCCTTATAGTTCTTTTCAAAGAGGATTTGGATCTGGGCTTTAGCCTGAGGACACCTGAGGACATTCACACTGTTGTTTTGAAGCCAGAGTTCACTTGGCTCTCCGAATGTCTCCAGGTCACTGTCTTAATTAATGGGAAATAACTCCCAAAAGAATCTGCTGTTTTCATGCATCCCTCTGTTTGCTTTTGATAGTCAACACACCACTTCGATCGATGTGCCCACCGTCGGTTTGCTCAGCATTACAGCGAGAGTTCAGATTACTTTTCACTGTAGTACAGATTATTTGGCTTTATGGCGTCGAATTTTATCATGTAGTTTTTTGGCAAAGCCAACTGTGCAGTCAGAAAGCCTTTTATTTCCCCGGAGTGCTTCTGGACAATCTCCAGGCTGCAGAGACTTCTCAAGGACTCAAAAGAATAAAATGACACCTAAAATGAATTTATCTTGTTATTGCAAAGAGGTGAATGTGCTTTGACTCAAAGCATTCCGGCTTTCCACATTTAATTAATTTTTAAATGAATAAAAATAAACAGACAAATTGGAATTGACATTTTAAGTCTATGTAAACCAAAAGTGAAATCCCCCAACTTGAATCATCGCTTAGGGATTAGGTTGTGACCACACAAAATGTGGGAAAGGTCATGGCAGTGAAATACTCAATCAAGGCGATGGGTTTTGTGATTTAAGTTTCTATTTTTCTAAAAGAATGTGTGTATAAATTAACCATGAGCATGAAAACTCACCTCCTATAAAGCAGTCTTTGTTTAAATGACGGTGGGAAACTGTAAGATCTGCACTTGATGTTGTGCTGCTTTAGATTATATTATTAAATATAATATTGAATGTTATTTTAAATCAATAAAAATGTCTTCCAATGCTAATGCACAGAACATATCTGAAACGTGGAATAAGAAGAATGTGTTTTCAATTCAGTGGCATGCTTTTACTTTGCTTTTGTGGAAAGCAGTAGGTAGAAACAATTGCTGAAATTGCTGGTGACAAAATGTTAGTTCCTCATGTGTTCATTATGGGTTCCCCGTGGGTTCCTCATGGATAATCGGTTTTGGATCTTACCCATGCTATTATGTCCCTGTTCTCCTTTATGAGCACCGATTCAAATGTTAACGTAAATATCGTTCCTTCGTCTCCTGCCAGGCGGCATAACCGCTGACCCGTTCCCGGACGGAGCAACGGCGGTTTTTCAAAGCGAGACAGCGCAGATGCTTCTAATTTAAAAAGGCATCGGAGGGAAATCTAATTTGTGAAGGATTTGTTAGTCGCAATGAAAACATCCACGGGAGAGTCAACATGAGGCCAGCCGAAGGCAAAGCTTGAAGATGAAATAAAAATGGCAATAACAATCCCCGACTAGCTATTCTCATCATTAGTCTGTAATGTTTGTCTCCGTTAAGCGACGTTACTGAAATAAAGACAATGCAGAAAAATACAAAGGACGTTACAATTTTCAGCTACACCTTTCCTCACTAATAAAATTGTTGCATGAAGACTTATTTTCTTAAAGATATACTGCATTTCACTTCTTCTCTTTGAGATGTCTAACTCATGGAAGCGCCCATTTACTCATCCTGAAGCCTCTTTCATTTTTCCAGATTTGTATTATTTACATCTTAAGCAGAGAGTTGCAGTGATTTATTGTTCATGGGTGTCGTCTATAAGTTTAGTGTAACTGTACCTTTTGTAAGTTGGTCATGGTTACAATACACTAACTTTGCCGTACTGGTATTTAAAGGATTATCTTTTCTCATCTTATCCTAACGAGGAACTTTGTGGACCGGTGCCGAAGAAGTTGTTTGTTACGTTGAAATTCGCAAGATGATCATTTTCTTCAGGGTACCATTCAGCCACTTAGTTATAAGACGCCAGTGTGTTTCACAAACCTGTTGTCTTTTTTCGATCTCCAGCTTCATCCGCATGCTCAGGCACCTCAAGGTGTCTTGAAAGGTCTGCCTGAGGGTTTTCTCCATCAGGACCTTGTGGAAGGCTCCCACCCCACTGCCACACAGGAACACCAGTGCATTGGACAGCAGCTGCAGACACGAGACAAGGTTAGCATGCATTTGCGTATTTTGATATATTTTATTTTATATATTTTATTGTGTGTAATTATGTGGAAGGAGGGCATAGCAACATAAGCATTTCATTGTACAGAGTAACTTGTTAAACTTTACACATGACAATAAATACCTTGAATATTACTTTTTAATTTTGCATATTTTCTGGAAGTAAACCATTGCCAAAGATTATATTATGTCTAAATTCAGCTTGTTTTTGGGGGTAAGAGAGTAGTTACACACAAACCCACAGGGAGATAACTTAAACGTATATCCTGTAACCCATTTTACCTTCAAGCCCTTAGCACACGTCTGCAGACTTATCAATAGATATTACAGAATGATTTTTTACAACATAATGGCAAAACTTTAGATTGAACTGGTCTCACCTGGTTGGTGAGGTAAGGGGAGGGGTTATCGGGGTAAATGGTGAGGCACACTGTGAGGACCACGACGTGGGACAATGAGGAGATGCAGCTCAGCACCACAGCGTACCACAGCTGGAACGGCAGCATGGTGTACACGGTGAAGATGATGAAGAGGAAGAAAGGCACCTGCGAACGCGAAAAAGGTTCCGTCACTTCAAGGCCGAACTCTTAACGATGGGCGTTCATCCACTAATGCCGAGTCATCCGGTGCCTTAGCGAAAAGTGTGCGTGAGGTTACCTGGTCCCAAGGCAGGATGATGGGGCCGCTGAAGATGAAGGTGTAGCCCATGGTGAGGTGCGTCGCCCATACAATCAGGCCCAGCAGACGCCTCCATCGCTGGGAGAGCATCTCCGTGCACACCAGCAGGAACACGGCCAGGAACACACACAGGCTGCCGCTCACCACGCTCACAAAGGCACAGTGTTCCTTCGCGCTCTGCTCCAGCGGCAGGGGAGGGGAACAAACACACGTTTTATCACAGTGGTATCAGGTCCAAATGTGGCACGTTTAGTTTCCAGCTTTAAAATCAGACGGTTGTTGGTTCCAAGACAGTAACCTGGTGGAATGTTGGCAACGCTACAAGCTGCAACCTCCAACTCTGGCTTTAATATACACCTCTCAATGAAATGCAGGAGTAGGGGGCTTCCCCAAATGGATTTAGCGCCGGGATATTGTTTCTCTTTGTGAGGTAAGTCTGTTAAGTTTGTGCACGCTTATCAGAAACGTACTGCTTGTGTTTCTGACCACTCTGAGAGTAAACCTGAGGTTCCACACGAGCACAAGACGCACAGCCATTGATTTTCATCAGCATCGAGGCTCATGTCTGGGTTTGTCCTGTTTGCTGAAGGCCATCGTCTTCCTGACAAGACTTACTGTGCAGTGAGAGGAAAGAGATCCTGTGCATTTGTGTGTGTGGAAGCATGTTTGTGAGTAGATATGTGCATGAACGCACAACCATGCGAACATATGTGTGAGAATATGTTAGTGTACGTGGGAGAGAGAGAGAGAGAGAGAGAGAGAGAGAGAGAGAGAGAGAGAGTGGGTGTCGCAGGGAGAGCACGAGAGGAAACAAGGGGTTAAATGAGAGCTTAAGAGCGAGACAGAGCACAAAGTCAGTGTTAATGGATCTCTGCTCAGAGAAGGCCATCTCTGCATTGTATGTTGAGCTTTCTGGTTACCATGGCAGCGCTAGAGAAGGCCAGATCTCAACTAAAGCACTACGCGGCTGTGGGTCTTGAAACCTTTTTGCGGGCAGAAAAAGAACAATTATTCTATACAAATAAGAGCCAAAAACCTGTGGGAACATTCAGGTATATTCAGAACGCTCAAAGCGAGGCACTCACAAGAAAGCAGCACAGCATTTGTGTACTTTTCATGAATCATTCCCATTTATAGGATATACCATTAATGTCAGTGTAACCGTTCTGCATTTATGTCTGTGGTGTCAGCAGGTTGTCCCTGATTGACACATTTATCTATATAGACAAACGATAATGATCACAGTGTGCCGTGTACGGAATGTCTTTGCTTTCTTTACACTAGATGTGCATAAGTGTGTTCCTGCCAGGACGATGCATTCCCGACTCCTCGCTGTGTCTCTGATAACCGCGAGGAACGCCTCACCTCCAGTGAAACATCACGTACGTCCACTAACGTCCTCTCACAGCTCTTAGAATCATTTCAAGAAGACAAACCGACTAATGTGAATCATCCCTCCAATCAGATGCTGATGCCACGAGTGGCACTTGGAACATCGGCTCCGCCAGTTTTCCTCTCAGCGCCGCTCTTCATCCGATGCCAATTTTAGAGGAGTTATATAAGTCGACGGTGACTTTTTGACACTGGTGGCATCCTCCCCCCCCACCCCCACCAGGCACCCCGCCCCTCCTTCGCAATTCAACAAAAGTGTTACGCAAGCTCCATCCCAGCATTTTCTCTGAACTCTTCTGTACCCCTGGCAACTGTGTGTGCGAGGCGCCAGCGAAGGAGAAGGAGGGGACGGGTGATGGTTTGGGCCAGTGATGGATCAGGTTGGTTGTTTGTGAGTTGTGAACATTTACTGTGACAATTTACAATCCGGGAGTAACTCCAACAAATGAGACAATTGCGGGAACTAGGATTGTGTGTTTTTGTGTGCACGGGCGAGGGACAAAACGAGGACGCGAGGATACTTGTGTTTACATAAATGAGGGATGTGGCCGTTTGAAAAGGACGGGAAGATCTTTACGTACCAGTACAATGAAGAGTGAAAAGGGAGTGTGCCCGAGATCCAGCAGTAACACAATAGAGGGGTTACGATGCTTTTTCCAACAAAGGAAAGTAATTTAATCTCCAGGGACAGAGTCAGTTTACTAGACGACCCGCCGCACCGACTCAATGCGGCGCTACCTGCCATCGTGCCAACATCAACATCGGCCGCGGCCAATTTAACCGGCCTCTTCCTGTCAAGATCACAATCACAATCTGACACTTCTGACAGCTACATTATTTTAACCAATGTTTGTTTTCTTCTCTTTGTTCATTTTCTTTAAATAAACCCTAAAAAGGGGTTTTTGTTTAGCACGGAGACATGACACGATAGAATAGAGTGCACCCAGAGTCTGCAGGCAAATTTTGCACTCAAGTACTTTTGAGCAAAGCTAAAGTGCTGCCAGCTCCAGGGCCACTGTTCTGTAGCTCATCGTGACCCCTGACCTCACTGTGGAGAAAGGCGAGGCAATTTCCCGAAGGAGAAGTATCACCAGCAGTATCAAACATGTACCTGATTTTGTTTAACAGTTGCATTTCCTCAACCTGAAGCAACTGAAACACGTATTTTCGTGTGTATTTCAGCGATGTGTCCTCCTTCACATTCAAACAGTTACACAATCACTTAATCTTTTCCATGCAGCTCGACTGCAAGTGAAGGGGAGTTGAGTGCATTATTTAAGTAGTTGTTGGGGGGGGGTGAGTGTTTTTCGTTTTGTCGCAGTTTCACGGGCCGACGTGGAGATTCAAACTGACCATCCAGCCACATCCCGCTTCGCTCAGCGCTGCGCAGGTGCTGCCGTCCCAATGGGCCGCATTAGTCCGCATGCACTCATCTCCGCGACATCGAAGCCATACGAGGATGCTGTCGGGGGCCGGGCATCTCTGAAATAATTCTCAACGCAACTTGATTTGCTAAATCTTTTCCGATGAATGAATACACATATTAGAGGAGCTCTTGATATAATGCCGGTCAGGCAAGTAACACCAACACTGACGATGATCTAAATGCAGAAACACATAATTGAATCGACACCTCCACCCATAGATAGCTGACACGGGGGCTTATGGGTCCGCTTGCAGAAGTGAGTATGTGTCATTGGAAACCACATTGACATTTGTAACTACCCCAACAACTAAAAATACAGCTACATATCTTTATATAAGGATGTTTTTCTTAGATCAAACATTGTTGTTCCATAAATGTACGTTTTAACATCCTTTGATAAACATAATAAGCTTAGATATGTCCGTCACACCAGCGGGACGGATAGGATGCTTTTACACAGCAGATATTACAACTATAAAACTGGAGGAATAAAAAAAAATAAAAAATCATTGTGATTGCACACTCTAAAGCTCTCGTAGTCTCTTAATGGGAGCTGTAGTTTTAAAGCATAACAGTAATCAGTAAAATCCAGAATGTTTTAAGATAAGCCGTCTCAGTGGATGTAGCTTTTTGTCTCATAGGAAGCCCAGCGACATGCCGCATCGTGCAGAGCGACAGACGAACGACTGCACCGAGTTGCAAGTCCAGGCTGTTTAATTGTATTCATTTTCATAGCATAACTGTGGAGGACTTAATGAACTGGTCCTATGACCGGGGATATCCTAAGAAAACCTGTCTTACTTGTTCCTACACCCGTTTTTCCTGGTATGACGAGTTAAAATCTCTGCTGGCCAGATTTATGCCTATAAATGCAAGATTATATCTGGAAAAGGAAATACAAAACACCATGCGCTGTTTAAACCATGATCCCCTGCCTACTTCAACTACGACCGGTGTTGTGCTTTAATCACGCATGCGTCAAATACCATCACTGAGTTGATTTGGAAGCAGCCTCTGATATTTAATCCCTGAATCACTCCACAAAGCCAATTCTGTTGAGAGTTTCATGACTTTCGAGCCGTGGCGCTGTGCACTGAATTCAACCTTGAAACCGTTGCACAATAAGAAGCATTGTGTTAAAAATGGGGGAAGTAACTCAAAAAACAAATGTCAACACCTCGCCTTGCGCCAACTGTCATCTGGTTGATCCTTGCCCCATGTGCACTGCAAGGGCCCCAAAACACACGACGAAGACCTCTCAACCAACATCAAGGCACATCTCACTAACCTGGAATAGTCTCTGTCTCAATGTAAGTCTAAAAAAAATGGACACATTTAAGTTAAGTTCTTTCATTGCAACTATGGACTTAAGTTTAATGTTCAACGGCGTGAAATTGTTAATTCAAACCTGAATAAAACAATGTAAAATCCGGGTTTCTTTCGGTCTCGCAACAAGCGCGGATAAAATGTGAATACTCACCAGTTGCAGGGCGAAGAAGACGATGAGGAGGACGGCGCAGGAGAGCATGGAGAGGCCCAGCAGCAGCACCAGCGGCTGGTACTGGCTCATGCAGGAGAACCTCCGGTACAGCGTCTCGTTCTTCAGCTCCTGGTCGTTCAACAGGTACTTCCCCTTGGCTGGCATGGCTGCTGCTTCTCAGAGAGGCATATCAGGTGAGAACGCTAACTTCTAGATCGGTTTCAGGGGGACGGGGGACGGGAGGGGGACGGGGCTGAGATCGGGCCCTCCGCTAGCTCATGACGCTCTGGTGAAACTTGCGTTTCTCCTTCGCCGTGGCATCTTGAGCGCTAGCGTGGTTGCTCCTCTCGCCGCGGCTCCCTTGGCTCGGCGTCCTCTCTCGTCTCGCTCCCGCTCGCTGGTCCCTTTGCGCCTTCTAGCCTCTGTCTGGAGTCGGCAGGTCAGACCCGCTTCATCCTTTGCCAGCTACTGTGTTGCTCCTTGCAGTGGGTTTGAGCAATGAGCCCGGGGCCGGGAGATACGGAGGAGGAGGAGAGGGCTGTTTAAGAAAGGGGAGGGGAGGGATGAGGGGGGAGCGCGGGAGGAAAACGGGAGGAAAACGGGAGCCGGCGGGCAGCGACAAAGGTCATCGGGGATCCCACCAGGTCTTAGGATGTAATGGAGCGCTGAGGTTGGCAGCTGCGGCAAACGGGGGAGGAGGGAGGGAGGGAAGAGAAAAAAAAATTTCACTACAGGTTTGGTAGCAGACACACACACACACAGAAACAGAAACACTGCCCATGTTAAGACATTAAGCTGGAGGGAATTGTTTTTGTTGGCACATTCAACTCTAAACACGGCTTAATGTCTCTGGAGAAGGGTTACGGACCTGGCTACGACTTCTGAAAAGGACGGGCCGCAATCTGTGACTCACTGTATTGTGAGAGTGAGACATAAATATCCGGATCCCTCGATGAGCACATGCTACACTCGTACCTGAACTCCCCCACTTCCACCGTCTCCGCTTTCCCCGACTCGGCCACAACTTTCATTAGGAAGCCGCACCGCTAATGACGGCAGTTGCTTCGCAGTCAAGCAATGCAACGTAGTGGGATGAACTTTGCATACAAGCCACAAACACCTTTGTGCCAGCTCCACTAACAAACAAGCGAAGGTCCGCAGACAAGATGACGGCAATCAAAGCAACAACAGGAGGCGAAAGACACGCACGCATGACGGATTTCACATCCACGACAAAGTGACCTCACTGCGCGCAACACGCTCCCTTCATCACCTTTCTATTTAAAAACAAGGGGGAGGGGCCGTGGTGCGAGAGGAGGTCTCAGGAAGGCTTTGCCAAAACACACAATGAGAATATCTCTTCAAACAAAAGGCCTGACAATCACGACAAACACAGTCCGCGGACACATCATCCTGATTGAAATGGGGTTTTCTCTCATTGTATAGGTCATTTAGGTGTGATCGCCCAGCTCTCGCTAATAGGAGCTGCATGTGAACGTTTGGGTGAGAGGAGGAGACGCACTGGCCCCGAAGCTCAATAGAAACAACATGAACTTCGCACCACTGTCAATAGAAGCCTCATTTCCTCCAGTTGCTAATATCGCTGTCCCGTGTGTGGTGTGTGTGTGTGTTTATCCCTCACATAGCAACTGTGACAGATGCTATGCACCATAAAAACAGAAAAGCAGAGCAAAAAAGGAGGGCAACACGTTATGCACACACAAAAACACGTGTCGTGGTTTGTGAGAGGGAAAAAGTCGGCCGCAAGCGCTTCCATCATGTGGAGATTAAAAAAGGCGCCACATTGAGCGGCGTCACGGCTTTACCGCCGCGTTTAACCCCGCCCCCGCTTTCGGCAGCCGTCTCTCCCCGGCTCAGATGGTAAAAGCAGGAGGGAGGCAACAAGGAAAGTCACAGCGCTGGTGAGGGATCGTGTCCTCCTCTCGCATCAACAAGAACCAGCTGGCCTGCAAGGAGGGAACCCTGAGTAGACATTTGTTGGCGTCAACATACCTACTCAATGCCAGGTCCGGTTCTTATACCGGCAGCGATGTGGCTGTAAGTGTCATCACGATAGCAAGACAGGGCAGGAAAATATATGTCATAAATTCCTATGCAGGGGAATGCACATTAATTAAAGTGAAGGGAACAACAGTAGACCACTGGATGCTCTTCTATCTGCCTATCTACCGCCTTCCTTCATCATTTCTCATCAGCTGGCTCTCGTACCACTGTTTTTTTTACCCCCGTTACGCTTCAATGAGCAAATGTCTGGTATTTGACGGTTTCTTGGAAAGCAAAGCTAGCCCCGCCCTTTTTCTGGATGGACACGTTTCCATACAAATAAAAGAAAACAGGCGCGGGAACATTTTATCAGCGATCCATCATTTCACCCACTTCCATTAAACCTGCGAAGCTGTTGTTGCCGGGCAACCAGACTTGTTTGAACCCGCACAAGACACTTGTAGCAGGCCTCCAAAGATGGCGCTACGAGTTACGAGGCTGCGCGATTAGGTCGTTTAGAACAAACGTCTTATTTAGTTTCAGTTCAGTAGTCCATAACAGAGTTTCCTCAACGACTGAATAGAACGAGCGATGGAAGGGAAAAGGTCAACAAAACGCCCCTACGTCCGTGATTCAGTTCAGACGACCAGGAGGCTTCAGCATTTAACAGGGTTGGTCTGGTCTTTAAAGAGCCATTTGACACTGCAGGACCGCCTCGTTCACCAGATGTGAACGCTCTGGGCCCCAATGGGGCTTTTTTATGCCCCAACACTAAAGTTACCATGGCAAAAAAAAAAAAAAAAAAGCAGCGCCATCAGACCCGCGGCTGTGCGGTAGCAACGAGCCGGGAGAGACAGACAGAGACGTACGCTTCAATAGAGCCGAGTCTCTCCGCGGGCCCGGATGAATAGCCGAGGCCGCGTTGAGCGCCAGCGCTTTTGCTATGAAGAGCTTGGCAATGGAGCAGAGTCACAGAGCCGCCTTGCAAACTGCCGTCACCGAAACCCGGAAAAACAGCAGGAGCACAAAACCGACTGACGTCACCGGCTGCTTCCCGACCAAGACGCAGGAATCCACCGGCCCTCGCGTCACGGGAAAGACTCCGCAGCGCGATAGAGACGTGGATCCGATAGCCTGTGTGTTTTGTAGGAGGATTCAGAGGAAAAAGTATAGTGATTTATTCATCCAGAATCTACTTGGGACCTTTTTTTTTATCGTGCTCCTGGCGCAGTACATTAGTCTTCAGTAGTATCTGCTGAGCAGCAGAGCGACATGTTCGGCCTCCCGGGAAACAAAGCGGGAGCGGTAGGTATCTGCTGGCAGCCTTGAAAGACCACCGGGCGATGCCAGACGCTAAGCGAAGCGAAGCAGTCGGAGGAGATCCGTCAAGCAGCCGATGAAGGGCATTGACGCAGCTGGGTGGTGACACATTTTGGATCGGCTCCTTTAGCGCGTTAGTATGTTTGTTCATCTGAACTTTTCCTCCAACCGGAGCCCGATTCAAGGCCGGGAGATATTTAGAAAAATGACACTGAAGCGCGGAAACTGCCGTTGTGTCTGCTCTGGAAACGATCAATCCATTTCTTTTCATGCCAAGTAGTCACATGGGGAAAAAATAAATAAATCTTATCCAAAAAAATGTACCCAAACCTACGCCCAATTCAAAGGCTTTTTGTGGGGAGCAAACAGGCAGCTCTCTTTCCCAAGCAGATCAGTCGGCTTTTATGGCCGTTTTGTTTGTTGGCATTCCATAAGCCTGGACGGAAAAAAAGGGACAAAGAGTGACCTCTGTAAAAGAAATGTGTGACACAAGACCATAACCTTACAGCCCCGGGGTCGAAGGCGATGCAGTTTATTTACGACTTTTGCGACCTTTATTTCAAATGGTGGAACTGATATTTGTATTGAAGGTAGTTTATTTTGAAGAGAGTTAGAAAGGTTAAGAGGTTACAGAGGGCAACATTCTTTTGGTTTAGTTTCACTCCGTATAGTAAAACCTTTACTTTGAACTACTTTACATCATACGGTTAATGAGATATTTGGGGTGCATTCCAATTTGAAACATTCTTTCATACATACATTTCGCCATATTTTATAGAAACGAGTCGGTACTCATGATACTTTGCAACACGCCCTTGATTCCTAATTGCTTTATGCACAACGACACAGAGGTCATCTTCTTTTATGGTTCAGCTAAGCTACTGATGATTCAATTGCAGGAAAAATGTATGCCGATATGAAGCCTTATTATATTACAAATATGAATTCTTGCAATAATATAATCAGTGACTATGAGTATGAGTAAGTACATCGGACAGATTCTATCCCGGTCTGAATCGGCCCGGAGGGGTCTAGACCCAGTTATCTTGCCTATTCATAGAGCCTTTCAATAAACACATGACTGATGTATGCACTACAATGCACAGGGCGGATTAGATTAGGCCTTGTGTCCTTTCCCATCTCCCCTCCTCTCCTCCCAGTACGGTCTGCTGGTATTAAATTATCCTCACTCAAATGCCATTGCCTATAATAAATACAGGAAGTGCAAGCGAGAGCACCATGTGTTCGGATGCTCAAGCGTTTCACATTTACTTCCACAAAGCGGAGCCGGTTCGCACCGCCACGAGTGAAACCATCGGTTGTGCTGCTCGACACAAACGGCGGTCCAGAGGCGGGTTTATTCACTTAAATATACATAGAATTTCAATCCGAACGGATCCGCCATGGGGGCAAATCCAATGTCGAAGTAGCGTTCATTGAATTAGTCTCAGCCATTTCCTTCTCGTAGGGGGTTTTGGGTTTGAAAAACACCTGCACGCTCACAGAGGGAAGCTGTCTATCAGTCAAGTCAGTCATCCAATCAGACGAGTCGCGGTTTGAAGTAATGAAAATAATAATTATTTATTATAATAAATAATTACTACGAGCGCAGGTGTTTTTTTCACTGTCGTGTAGAAGTCAGTTCCTCTTTCCGGAACTCATTGCTCATCTATGAACCTTTGACTCGCTCTTTGTCTGTGACTCTGTGCTTTCTGGATTGACTGTAGACCAGTCAGTTTTCTGAAGTGTGCATACATATATGTGGGCATTTTATTGTGTGCTGAAGACAGATGCGTTATGTGTAATGTACCAAAAATGAACGGAGGGCTTTGTTTCTTTTGGGTTTTTGTCGACGCATCGCATGGACGCATCTTTCGGGAACAAACTTTGCGATGAAAAACCGGGTGAAAAGAATGCACTACAATGAGAGAGGCCATTGTTTCCAGTCGGTGGAGCCGGCCACATCCACATTTCAGCTTTTGTAACTGGACCTGCTTCATCCTGTTACTGGCCCCCGCTGCACTTCCACCGCCATAAAGAAAAACCATAATTATCCCCTGAGTGCGCCAGCCAGCCCGGCTTACTAACGGCCCGGAGAAACCTCAACATCTGCAAGCGCAGAGCTGTTTACGCAGATAAACAAAGCGGCTGGAGCTTTGGATCAGCATGGTGGATATTCTCCGGGTTTCCACAAAGCCCCGGCCGTCCATCTGGTGCATGTTTTCTGCAATCTACGGTCATAAGTACCGTTGTTTTACACTGCACACATGCCCCGACATAGCTGCCCTAATTCAAAGGCTTTTTGTTCAAGGACGACGTTAAACTGGTGAACATTTTTCATTGCGATGTTTTAA